TGAAACTTCAGATTACTAGTATATATAATTACTTGCATGTACAATCATTTTTTTGTATATGACCAGTGACAATTTACGAGTTTCAATTCTTATTTAAAAGAACCATATGACGCAAAAAAAAAAAATAATAAAATAAAACTGGACTTAAATTTATCGATGATTGGAATAGTTAAATGAAAAGTCATTTTGATAAAAGTAATTTTAGTGTTATTGATCATGGTAAAATTTTGACACCACTTCTCAAATACAGTTTTGTGCAGTACCCCTGAAGTTTCATAGGCACAGAGAACACACACACACACAAATAGATTATTTCATTGCATGTACGATTTAAAAAAAAAACAAATCTTGGTAGTTTTGGCATCAGATCCAGTAATGATATTCGGATTTTTTACTTATTTGGTGCCCAGTTCTTTGTTTCAAACAAAGTTCTTCAGAGATTTTTTTTATCTCAATAAACCAAAAATAAATAAACAAATGGGAAGGAATGGATTGTTGAAGTCAGTGTAACATCAAAATCATTTGTCTCTCTTGTTTGAAAAATAACGATACTGACAAAGGATGTTTAACATTTCGAATGAAGCGAAGAAAATGTCGCCCGATTGGTGAGACTCTTCTTTGAAATGTACTCATCATTTTGATTTCTCCAAAGTCATTTGTAGTTTTGGAGAATCCACATTTGACTGATTCCATATTTACAATATGCAGTACGTCTAACAAATTATTGACAACTTATCTATGATTTTAGTAGAAAGTAAGGGAATTCGAGAGTTGTAATTTACTGCAATCAATAAAATCAATGGAGATAACTTTTTCTTGAATGTATTTTTTTCCCTTTATGTTCTTCAACGAGTTAGTCCTCTTAGCATCTGCTGTGTGTGAATGTCATTCTTTTTTAAATATATGTATATAAAATCTAAGTAATGCAGGAATTAAGCAAAATTTATAAAGTCTGTCTAATAGGAAAAGAACTAATATTGTCTAATAATAGCAGAAAACTGTATAGAAATTTGTATTTCTGGAATATTTATTTCATCATTTGTGTTATATTTTTTTTTGTAACCTTCTTAATAAAATAAGCACTTTAAACAAAGTTTTTAATATCTGCTGACGGTCTCAAATCGCATGTTAATGTACTTTCATGTATATTTAAAGAAAATGCTTCTATGAAATTCCTTGTAAAGATTCATTCATTTTAGCAACGGTAATCTGAAATAATGTATATTTCAATTCATTTTCAATTACAATGTTGTTTTAAATTTATGTTCGTTGTAGTTTTTGATTATTGATCCTTGTTCATTTTGAAGTTTTAGTCACTGTTATAGGATGAATTGTTTACTTTTTTGTCTAGGGTGAATACATGTAACAAGCCAGGAACCAAGTTTATCAAACTGTATTGACATTCTTTTACATGAAACATGTGTTGATTACGAACAGTATTTAAGATCTAAAGTCTACAATACAATGCAAAATAGGAGCAGAGCCAAACACAGACCTCTAAAACATCAGACGTCGGATAAGGTGCCATGGAGGAGTGAGCACCCCCTGCCGACCGGTCACACCCGCCGTGTGCTTCCTGTCATGATTGGGGAAATAACAAAAAAAAATCCGTCGTCAATTCAGTCTATAAATAATGGACTAACAATTATTATGCAAGACGTCAGGCAGCATTTGACTCAATGCTAAATTGTATATTTGCTGACAAGGTCATTGTATCGACGATAGAACTTACAAAATGATGACTTTAAACGAGACTACTGATATTCTTGTTTCATCAACTTTTTTGTAAATAATTTACCTCTTTTTAGAATTGTTCATACGTAGAGCTTTCTCTTGCGTATCGAAACTGAAAAATATAAACTCCGAATACAGGTGATGAAGGTTATATTTCTGCAAAAGTAAGAGAAATGACGATCGTAAAGTTAAAGTCATCACGTTTATCATAGAGCTAGGTTGTTATATTACCATTTACGTCCTTTTCAAGTAAAATATCCAAAAATGAAACAGATGTGTCAGACTCTGTGGTATCTTTTATTAACTGCTGTAAAGGAGAAACTCCAGAAGGAATTTGTTGTAGAATATTTAGAAGTCGTTTAAATCAGATATAGATCCTCACAAAATCAAAACTTTAAGAAAAAATTCGAACTACCAATGTTTTTCAAAGTTTAAAACATCAAAACGTACGGATTTTCTACACTTTATACATCTAAATATGTATGCCTCACGATGAATTAAAAATTATGCTTTTTGATATGTACAAGCACAACTGCTTCTTCAACAAAAACGGAAATCGAAACATTTCACATCTGATGATTGTACATCAACAATATTACTTTATTAAAAATCACCCTGATTATACACACAAATGCTCAGAAGTTGATATTAAAAGGATTCTGGAGTTCCTTATTGACAACATTCATGTAGTCTTCGGAAGCCAAGTCTTGCAATAAATTGTTCTAATTACGATGGGCACTAACTGTGCCTAATATTTAATAAGCCGATCTGTTTTATTATTCCTATGAAGCAGAACTTATCCAAAAACTTCTACTTATAAAGTAAGAGAAGTTGACGATTGAAAGTTAAAGTCATCACGTTTATCATAGAGCTTAGTCTTTGTCAGGTAAAATAGCCAAATATGAAACAGATGTGTCAGACTCTTTGGAATCTTTTGTCTCAAGCTCAGCGGAATCATATCGACATAAAAATGGAAATTACCATTGTTAATTGACAATACATCGTCGATAACTAAATGTCGAGTTGAAGACCACTGCAAGTGTTTTCTTCTTTTCACGAGTAAGATTTTTGGACAAATGCTGCTTCATATGAATACAAGATAAGTCTGCTAATAACGGTACCCAAGGGAATTATAATAGAATGTTGGAAGACCTGGTCTCCAAAAACGACATAGATATTGTCAATCAGAAACTCAAGCATTTTTGTGATCGCAACTTCAGAATACTTATGTGTATAACCAGAATGTTTTTTGAACAAAATAATTTTGCAGATGACCAGTGACAAGGTACGTAAATTTACGAGTTCCATTTTTATTAAAAAAGCATCCGTCAATGATATCAAAAAGCCTGGACTTTAATTTGTCATAGGGAATGGTTGTGTATAAAGTTGAAAAGTCGTAGGTATTAAAGCTGTTGTTTTTGGTAAAATCTTGTGCTTTCATATTGTCCAAAACTTCATTGGAGTTTTTTAGTATCCACATCTGATTTACACCACTTCTTGAATACATTGAACAGTACGACATTTAACTCTGGACACGACATAGTCCAGACCTTTTTACTACCATTTTGTATTAGGATATTCAAAATATTTTTATATCACTTGGTGGGATTTCTTTGCAGTGTCCAGGGTCTCATGTTGAAGTCACAAAAACCTCCACTTCTAAAGATATGAAGTCTAAAAACTCAAAATCCCATGGGAGAAGGGTGTGTGTGTGTGTGTGGGGTTTTCGGTAGGTCCCACCAACTCACAAACATCCACTTCCACCTAAAATTCTCCCATGGGAGAAAAAAAGTCAGATGGGATTTTTGGGAAATTATGACAATGACAAATCTCTCATCATTATACATAGAATATATTCTAAATATAAAATATATTGGAGAAAATAATTCAATGTTAATATTCATGGGATTTATCCCATTTGAACAAATATATGGAAGCAAAAATCCACTAGGAGAAAATATCCCATCTGACTTTTTTCGCCACCAAAGGGAAATATTTTTCTTATGGTGATAAAAAAACAAACACAACTTTAACAAGATTAAGACACAATGTGAGTAACCTTAAGTCAGATTTATTTAAAGTTAAACTTTCAGATAACACTCATTGTTCTTGTGGACATATCAATGAAAACACTGAACACTTCTTCTTGTACTGTCAAAATTATGCCGAAATTAGAACGGAATTATTTCACACTATACAGAATAACAATGGAGCAATAGACCTTGACATCATCTTATTTGGGGACCCTGAATTGGGTCAACAAAATAATATCAATATTGTTAAAGCTGTACATAAATATATCAAAAAATCAAAAAGATTTTATGAATAACCAGCGTAACCATTTTGTATCCTTTACAACCCCCTTTTATTTCTTCTCTCCTTGCACTCCCACTCTCTTCCTTTCTTTAACTCTCTGCACCCCCTTTCTTCTTCTTCTTCTGTTTATATTATTGTATATTTGTTGCTTGTACATCACGTGTATATATTTTTGTTATTTTTGTTTGTGTTGGAGAGGACAATCTAAGTTGGCAAAACGTGTGTCTAATCCATTTGATTGTTCAATAAAATATGTTTAAATCAAACCGAAGGGAAAGTTTCTGAATCGACACTAAAGAGAAAGTAAATGAATCGTCACGTGCACTAAAGGGAAAGTAACAGAATCGTCACCAAAGGGAAAGTAACAGAATCGTCACCAAAGGGAAAGTAACAGAATCGTCACCAAAGGGAAAGTAACTGAATCGTCACAAAAGGGAAAGTCAGATCTATATAGCCTCTCCCTAACAACAGAATTCCCTGAGGTCTTGAAGTTACAATTTTGGAAGAAGCTTCCTTGCTCATCATACATGTATCTATGCATTTAGTTTGTTTCCTTAATACCACAAGAAGCAGAGGGAGATAAGTTGTTTGTTTTTTTCAAAAGAACTAGTGCATTTTTGTAATAGAGACCAGCCATAGCGAGAGAACCTTTGACTTAAGGGTCATGATATTCACAATTTTGATGGAAGGTTCAACGTTTATTATAATCATGCCAAGTTTCTGAAGTTTGGCATCTAGGAGTATAGAAGATTTAAAAAATTCAGCTTGTAGCCATGAAATACACCATTTTTTCTTCACTCATTAATGCTCTGCCTATATGTCGAACTAGGCTGAAATTGGTTCATCAGAAGAAGTCGAAAATGTTTGTATGAACGATAATTCCGTCTGAACACCTTCAACAGCACCTCATTACTCCCAAGTAAATTGATAAAAAAAATAAAACGCATGAATTACATTTTTTGTTTATTTTTAAGTATCAAATTTGATCAAATATATAACACCTCCCGTGTAATAAAAAAAACAAAATCGACTTATTATTCCTGCACGCAAGCAATATTGCACTCCGCACAAGAAATTGCACACACGACACTCTTGCACAAAAATAAATTAATATATATCATTTGCATTCAATACTATACACAAATATGAAAGACAAACTGCTGGACAATTGTTTCTGCTTACAGTTTTTTTTCTCTCACACGTTAGCACCTTTGCAATTCTTCTAGCCTAAAGAAGGCAGGGAAAATAGAGCCCCCTTGTCTCACTGTCTAATAATCACATAACAGTGTTCACCACCTTGCCTTGCATTAACAGTTCATCAATGCCTAACAATGTTTTGTCAGCGTTTCGACAGTCATTTCGCACTAAATGAAATGTGTTCCAGTTCTTATAAAGATCTGCAATTTTAAAATGGTCGCTTTAATCCTTGAATTGAAGAATATAACTTCACAGGACATGTCGATTCATTTTGTTACGTAAGTTCGTTACAAAATATGCTTAATATTCATGGTCCATGATAATGTCTTTATAAGTGTTCAGAAACACATCTGAAAGCCTTTGTAAAGTGTAGCAAAACAATGTTGAGAATGATTATGACTTTGAAATAGGCAAAACGGTGGCAAAAGCTCTTAAGCTTTTATTAAGGAAAAACGACACATTTTTCCTTCAAACAAGTCAGAGATCATGAGTTTTTTTTTGAAATTTTCAGTCGCTGTTCACATGATACAGCAGCTTTTGGCTGCTTCCTTTCGTAATTGCACCTTTGCCTCGCCAATCCCGCTAAATCGTTTGCGTCGCATGAAAGACCTCTGTCGGCGGAAGGTGGGACTTTGTTCTGGCGTGGTCTTATTTCCGGCAGATGACAGCGCCGCAACTTCTATGACGTCATTCACGCTTCGCTGTGAATCTTTGGAAGAAATCTCTGAATAAACCAAAGCTCCAATATGCTTTGCTGACTTGAGAGCCTGTAAAATGATTTTTTTTGGTAAATAAATAATGCATGTGTAGTCTCGGACCCCCTTTTATTTTTATTCAAAAAGAGGTGGTTATATCTGACCCCCCCCCCCCCAAAAAAAAAGGCTTCTGATCTTCTATAGAAAAATTTTGATATTGTTAAGAGCAATCCTTACCTGGTCATACATAATGGGGGACATTCTTTTCTTGGCAAGTTCTGCTAGCGTCGTGGGATCGCTTCTGAGGTCTGTTTTGCAGCCCACTAATATCATGGGCTGTTTCGGACAGTGTTCCCTGACTTCACGTGACCACTAGAAAAAATAAAAGAAATGAAGCAGTGATAAAAAAATATATATATATAGACCCTATTTTCTATTGATAATTGGGAAAAAATTCTTATATTGCGCGAGCACACAAATGACGTCACTTACCCGTGAGATTGCGTGTTCCAAGCTATCTGGATCTGCTACGGAGAAACAGACCATAATGAGATCAGCGTCGGCGTACGATAGAGGGCGCACACTGTTATACATGTGAGAGCCTGGAATTAAAGGAAATATTAGATATAAAATTAATACATTGTATTGTTCTAATCAGTTTATCAACTACATGTATGATTTTGTAAGTATGAGATTAAAGAAATCGATGAAATTAGGTTTGCAAGTTGTATATGTTGAAAACCTGTGCACTACATGTAAATTTGCTGAATATGCCACAGTGGGTAAATGGTCAAGGTTTATTGCATAAATTGATATCTAGGTCTAAAAACACAACCCACTTCTTCCGCAAAACAACTGAATTGTTCGAATACCACGATATGGACGGCAATGCAAGAGAAAGCTAAAAATTAAGGCCTACAAATCAATCATTATCAATTGCCTATTTAAATTTCTCTTCCGAGGTTTCTGATTTCTTTCTGTGTAAGCAACACTCTGATTTTAACATTCAAGGAAAAAGCTCAGTACCATGGCCTATTTTCTTTCTTTACATTTCCTAAACCTGTTTTTCAACGACGCAGTTTATCAAACATATGTTATCAGAAAGTACGACTTGGAATTTTCTTTTTAAATCAATGAAATTTTTTTTGAGAGAATTCTTAAAAGTCCCCAGTTTGACAATGGAATTGTTTGCCCGAAGTATTTTGATTTTGGCTGAGCAAATAGTAGAATCGGAATTACAAATTTCCTACTATTCTTCTCAATCAAATCTCGATTGAAATTTGTTCTTCAAATAAGTCCAAGTGTAAAGTGAATTTTGGAACGACATAGATTTCTTTAAGAATTTTACAGGTAGTTCAAGGTGGTTCAGGTACTCCAAGCTGGTGAAGCCCACGTATTCTAGCTCTTTTCCATTATCGTTTAGGTTATCAATTCAAATTCTTCATTCATTTGGAACTAATGGATTTTTTTTTTGAGGGGAGGGGGTCTTTCTAGACAGGCAACTGTTTATAACTCTGAAGAAAGTTGTTCATGTATTCAAAATGATTGTCAAAAACCTTATTTTGTATTTATTGCAAGACGAATTGTTTTATACATGAATTTTACTCAAACATTTTATTCTAACTGTGCCAACAATTTAAAATATATTGCAAGATTCCTCTTTATAAATAAAAATGCATGATGCAAAAAATAAACTTCACACCAACAAAAATCATGACATGGTGCCTACCGAAATAAATTTATCTACCGCGATCTATCTTCTAACCACAATCCAAATGTTCTGCCGAACAAAACAAAGAGAGTAATTTTAAACATGACGCAATCGTCCTTGAAACATTTTTTTTTTTTGTATTTCATAATAATGCATTCCCAAACTGAACCTGGGTTAAAAAAAAAAAAAAACTTCATTTCCAAGTCAAAAGTTTCTGATCCACTCCGGGGCGGGTGGACCAGAAATCATTGACTTAGGGAGACGAAAAAACTAGAAATGTGTTCGTATATAAAACGCACTGTCATCTTGATTTACAAAAAAGTCCCTACCAACAAAAATGTTCAAAAAGCTTTTGGATATCAATCTGAAGGCTAAAAGTGATTTCAAAGCAGACGACCTTAATTTATGATCGCTTCAAGGACCTCCCCCACTCTTTACATATATACCTTTATGGGCAACAAGAATTTGAACGTGTTGAATCAAGCGCCATAAAAATGCACAAAGTAAATAGTCGCCCAAATAGCACACCCATACTTCATACAAATCTCCGACGAAGCAAAGAAACCTAGCGCTAAAGAATGACATTACATTTACTTTGCTTTTCTTTGTCAGGTATGAATGAAACTATCTCAAAGGTAAAGAAAAAGGGAATATATAAATTTTTTACTACGCCCATTTAACGATTGTTGGTGTCTGCCAAATGGCTAGCTACGTGTAATGAATGAAAGGAATACATATATATATTTATCGAAAACATATTTTATAATTCAATCTTCCACACCAATAGTGACAAACTACCTTTTTGACATAGTTCAGAAGGAATAAGATAAAAATGATTCTCTTTTTCAAGGTCTATGAAATATGAAAAGTTTCATGGAAAAGTACGTACACGACGTAATTTGAAGCTTGAAATAAAAAATAAAACAAGAACATTCAAAATCTTGTAATTAATATACACGTAGTTGCAATAGTTGTCCAGAAATGTGTATAAATCATTTTAGTGCATGAAATGGTTATGTTTTCTTCCTTCGTGTAAACTAACTCAGTGAATTAAAGAACGTGGTTGCTTTAACTTTTTGTCTGACACCCGAGAACAAAGAATTTGATTCCATTATGTGGATTGTCGGTACCATTAACCGAGAAATCAAGAAAGCATTGACAGAAAAGAACAGCTGGCTGGCACAGTATAGACAGGTGACATACGAGCGGCAAGTTTTTATAATTAACGGGGCTGCAATTTGTATTTTAAGACCGATGGAAACGCGTACAAAAGGAAGATTTTTCTTTTTTATATTATTCTTTTAAATCATTTACCTCAATTTTCTTTTCTTTATAAATAAAGTTAGATTGATGCATCTACCTTGGATGCCATTGGCAGTTCTAATTAACTGTACCTCCTTATATGGAATTTACGAATAAATTATATACAGAAAAAATCATCAAATTCGATTAATTGCTTCCTAATGTTCTTGCACAGTTCTTTTACTTTCACTGGAACGCGCTCATGTAATAAATAGCGTGGGCTGACTTGAATTAATGATAAATATTAAAAATATTTCGTCATTTTTACTTGAATTAAAATTAATACGAAGTGATTAGAATAAGGCTTGAATAAATTATTAGCTGACAAAGACATTTCTGAGTTCAAGTCGTACATTACTCAATGGGAAGGTTTTGCCAAAATCTTTGTACTTCATGGTAATAGATAATCTTGGGCTCAAATTATAAGCCGGATTTTCTCTTTTTATGTAAGTGCAATTATCAATGGCTGACATTTTGTCTTTTGGACGGTCACTCGGATTAGTTTTATGAACAAAAAATATTGGAATGCACGGATCTGACATCTAAGTTCTATAATCAGATTTATTGGTGTATATTTCAAAATTGACCCAAGGTAATAACCATCCTCATGCCAAATTTTCTTAATCCTCCCAGGTATGTAGGTCAACAGGTGAATTTCACTTAAGGTGTGTTTGCACTTTGATTTTCTTTGTCTTCCCATTTTATATTAAGAAAGGGTTTTCTTCTTTAAACAGCAAAATATCGTAAAAATGGCAAATTATTCTAGAAACATTAATGTCCTAGAAATCTTTTTTCACCTGAGCAATACAAAAACAATCGGAACATTTTTATCACCTAATTAATTAAGACTGGGGACAGCCAAGGAATGTTATCCATGTACAGGTAGCGGAAATTGTTAATGTCACAAGGTTCAAACAGTTTTATATTAAAACACAACCGAATTTGTACTTTTTTCTATAGCTTAAGGCGGTGCAGCTATTGAAAATTCCGCACCCTTTTAACCTTAGGTTTTAAGTTACGTCACGCACGAGACTTGTGCGAGATTTCTGTATTTTCGACTGGATTGGGTTTCGTTTCGTATTATATGAAAATACAGGTAGAAGATGGTATCGGCGAGAAGGTTGGTGAAAAAGTCAGTCGATATGTTAGAAGTTTGAACGAAAGGTCACGTGTTATCTACAAATACATCTTGTCTGGCGTCTAAGACGTCAGCACATTTGCCAAAGAAGCTGGAAATATTAACTTTGCCCATATATTTTACATGATATATTGCAGAGGCTATTTCACCAATTCTAGTCATGCCTCTTTATTCAAATAGCCACCACACATAGATGAAACCAACAAAAATCGTATCCCAAGGATTACAATTAACCTAGAATTGTAATTTGTAAACCTAACACTCGAGTAACACTGTCTTTATCTCGCATTTCTTTTGTGTCCCACTAATGCTATAATGCTAAATGCAAAAGAACATTGCAAATAGGAACTAAATTGAGTGTCTGATTTTGAAATCCTGTCTTTTTATCAAATACAGGTGTATATAAGTATATATTTACCTGAGGTATCCCAGAGGGACATCTGGATTTTGTACGTGTCGGATACATGATATGTCGTATTGTAGGTATCAAAAGCTGTAGCTGTATATATCTGAAATGAAAATTGAAAATTCATATAGATACCGGTATAAATCATGATATAATATAAAACAGTGTTAACGATATTACACGCCCCCCACACCCCTTGCCTAAAAGATCCGCACAAAATATTGTGTATAACTCAGATCTTGCATTTCATGAGCCAGAAGAAGGTAATTAATGAAACAATGTGCTACATGTGTAAGTTAATGAAGATTCAATGTCTAAATAACAACATAAACCAATTATAACTATACAAGGGTTATGCAATTATATTATAATATAAAAACTTTCTGATTGAATGCGAATGTTTACATGTAACAGATATATATATATCAAGTTTCCATATCAAATATGCTTAGCAGCTAACCTCCCTACAAAAAGAGCAGCTAAGATATCGTGCCAGCATGTTTCCAGCATTAGTTCTGCATATTTGCAGTTCTTCAAACGTGCATATCTTCCTGTATACATGTATTTATTTACTGACAATATAAACACAACCTGCTAGGAAAATCTTTGAGGAATCGGTACATTTGGCGGAAAATGTATCACTTTTTTTAGTAGGTCGAATTCCCACGAGATAGAACGGTATTCTTCCTGATATCGCGGGAAGCAGACACATTGGTCTTATCAGACTGCACATCAGGGGGGATTTATCGTTCTGACACATCGCCCTCACCAGCAATCCCTGACTCACACTAGAAAGTCTGTCAGCCTCACAACAAATCGAGCTTCACCGAGAAGCGTTTTACGCCCGATTTCTGATGATTATTAACTGAGAGAAGTGTCTATCAAAGGCATTTATATTGAATCTAACTACAATTTTCCAATTTTTTTGTCGGAGGGAAGAAATGGGTTTTGGCTTTATTTTATTAATGGTTCGTTAACTAGTTTCTTTTAAGTTTTGTTTTTTATATGTACATTGGCCCGCGGTCTTTGGCACGGAAAACGTCCTTCTTTACAAAGCCATAATTATGGACCCGCTTTAGTATCATGTCTTACTTGTTTAATTTGTTTAAATGCTGTTATAAGATGTACTTTTGTTGATTAGAATAAAAAGTTGTGAAAATTAATATATGACGAAATGTCACTGCAAAGATGACGTCATCGGGACAGGAAATGAGGGATCTTAAAATGTCAGCAAGAGCAGACACATTAAAGAAACATCCTACTTATCAGTGTAGAATTAAGATATCTGTGGCAGATGCAGAAACCTATTTTATCTTCGCTGATTGCTTATAAAGAGACCACGGCGATCTGACTTCTGCGGCCAATTTGCCGTATCTTGTTACGAACTCCGGAAACATTTCAAATATGCCTTCAAGTGTTATGTTTCTAAGAAAAAGAAACGGTTTATGTGAAACGGTTTAATGACAGTGTTGTTGTGTTATTCTTGTGTTTATTTGTTGGTTTTACAAGTCCCTGTGGCATTTCTTTACACGGTTGATCATGTAGTCTGCTAATTTACAAATTGGTACTTCAAACATTTTGCAGTATCATAGATATGCCGCAAGTTAAAAAAAAATATTCTCTCGATTTTTATGCTTTAATAATCTTCAAAATCCAGAATTTGATAGCATCATCATATTTCATATTGTGTGGAATTTCTGTCAGAGGAATTTGCAATTTGAATTAAGTTTCTGCATCGAATTAACTTCCGTTATTAAATTGCATAAGAATTCGTGATATGTAAATAAAAGAGATCGCCCCCATATCGCGTGATCTTTCAAATATTTTCCTTTAATTGAAAATAAGTAAGATAGAGTGCTTTTACACGATAAATTTCTAACTCGTTTAACTATTCACTGCCCCATGAACAAAACATGGTGTGCTTAGATATGACATATTTACAACAAAGCCCAATAAATGTCTTGCTATATAAATTGTAACAACCACCGACAAAAAAATTTGCAACGTATCGATCAACTTTCTTTTGTCATTTCCATTTGCATGACCTAAAAAATGTATGAATGAGAGGTCCACATCACGCCACGCTCGTGGTGGAGCCCAGCGCATTTCCGACCACAAAAACCTTTACAATTACGACAACCTTTGCTTCACCACTCATTCATGTAAATTATGAGGCAGCCCTTTGTTTCACTTCATAACTTTATCGTTTGTCATATTTTTAATTCAAGTACCAAAATACCACAATGCTCTCTGATAAAAATGCCTGTATGTACTACTAGAACATTTTAAAATAAAATCATTTACATATGTACAATTTATCCGTCATCATAACAAGTGAAGTCGAAATTGGCATTTTTTTGGAATATACATTGTATTTTCTTCCGTGTACATGTATAAATGCCATTTTTTGGGACAAAAACGGTAATGATCGAAAATAAAATTGAAATGAATCACCTCTCTCTCTTTCTCATGCATGTGATAATATAATCATCTCTCTCTCTCACTCATATGCATGTATGATATCATACATATCATCTCTCTCTCTCTCTCTCTCCCTCATTACGCATGTATGATAATATTACCACAGATATACATTTTTGATTGTCGAGATTACGTCTTTCGCTGCCATTAATTGTGCATATGTCAGAACTGGTCAGTAATGCCAATCGTCAATCAAAACCCACACCGGCGAAATCTGACAGTTGTGGAGGGTCGTTCACTCTGACGGTGTCAAGAGAGCAGCCGGCATTGTCTGGGTTAGCTCATGTTCGATTATCAACGGAGACTACAGTGAATTAAATGTGCTGTTGACACAGTGATAAAAAAAACCCTTCCATTCATTTATCACCAGGTGTCGGAATTATCAGGAGTTTAATATAGATTATTGAAATGCAAAAATGTGATGGTTCAAAAACTTTTATCGATAATAAATTATTTCTCCAAGAAAACATGTAATTTTTTAACAGCTTATGAGCTGCAGATGTAGCTTTATGGTTTTATATTTTAGTCTCTGACCTTAACAGTTATGGCCAAAGACTAAAATATAAAACCATAAAGCTACAGATCTGCTGCACTGCAGATGTGTGTCAATAGCCCTTATTATTACTAACATTATATTTTTATCACTTTACATATAAAATATACGTGAACTTCTGAAAAAAAATCTTCTTTTGAATTCTTTCGCTCTCTCTTAAATATGTAACCAATCAATCATCGGAATTGACATTTTCCTTGAAATTTTGATCTCTACAGCTGTGCGCTTTCAAGGTGACTTAGTTTTTGTCAGAACTTCGGAACTGATCGCCAGAGATAAACGTTGAAATGTCGTTTTATCTATCAAGTATACATAGTTAAAGCGGTGGGACCCCCTCGAGGTTTTGATTAAAATCTTGATTTAGACACTCCACCAAATGTGCCATTTACATAAGAGACAGAGCAGGCCAGGAATGGACTTTGTCACTCGTTTTAAACCTGTTCCGCGGTGGAAATAGGCATGCATTTGAAATAAGTAAATGCAAAAGTTTTACTCAGGAGAAAGGTATTGCATAATTTAAAGCAGGCATGTCAGGTCATGAATTTATTACCACTCCTTACGTCGGATCTATTTTTAGAGTTTAACGGAGTAGATAAAAAAAACCTTTGGTTTCAAGTTTTTTAAGAAGATACCGTTTGGTGATCTTCGGATGATAATCTGTTCCTAGCCACATAAACCGCGATTGAGACCAACCGCTGTGAAACATTGGCCACACCCTCAGAGGCAACGATAACAATAGGTTTTAAACCCCATTCACTAATAACCATCAGGTATAGCACTCCCAGGTGTATTAAAAAATATGAATTTCTTTTAACTCTCAGTTTTTGCGGTTAAAGATTAGACTTGGCTGACTATCCCTTTAATTTTCAAAGTTCATTACCACGACGATATGATTAAGATAACAATTTAATTGAATGAACGAGGAATGTATTTACTGTACACGAGATCGTACAATACTGCTTCATTATAATGCAGATTTACATGTCAATGTTCTGTAGCACATTAACAATCTTTTAGGCTGCAATAACGTAGCCCTTTCCCTTTTTGGGGGGTGGGGGGGGGGGTGGGGTGGGGTTGGGGATGGGGTAGGGGCGGAGAGGGTTTCATTATTGCAGCTTCACATTAAGGTGCATCCATCCGTGTGAATTCCTAAAATACTGTATTTGGTACATACAATAAGACGACAAAGAGCAAAATATTTTATAAAGAGCGAATTAGAAACGTAGACATACCTCGTTGAAGTTTTCTTTGATGTACCGCTTAATTAATGAAGTCTTTCCACATTCACAGTCCCCGACTAACACAATCTTACATTTCACCGAAGTCACTTGAGGGTTCCTTTCCCCATCCGACCCCATGCTATCCAAAGTTCTGGATTTCAACATGAAGAAAGTATTTATTTAGTACACCATGTCCAATAGAGGGGGTTCCCCTATCAATCGCCCGTTTCCAAGGCCTAAGACACGAATAGGTGCGAATTCACTGATACTGGAGTATATATATAATTCCCCGTATATTTTTTCGTAATATTTTTTAACCAAATGTTTTTTAATCCGTCGTCAGCTGTTACCCTTTAGCGAGTATGGGTCCTGTCTACGAATTCCTCTCAACCACGTTTACACATGGGTTATTGCATTAAATGAAAACCATGTGACGGTCAATTTTCTCAATGAAATTTACAAACCACGTGATTTTTCAGCCAATCAGATTGCAGGATCTTCACTCCCTTTTTCACAGGAGAGGCACGGTGAAGGATCCAGGTGATTTTTCTATTTATAGAACAATAAATTACTGCGAGTTGTGAAATATGAATGAGGATGAAAAATTATATCATATTTTAAATTTGAAAGCAGAAAATGCTTCAACTAACACTTAAAAAAAATCAATTGTGTTTGATTGAAAAAAAAAATTAAACCAAAGTTCAATTTTCTTTTCATTGATGAAAATTTAAATACTTCAGCATATTTTATTAACCACTGATTATTCTAACTATACACAATGGGGACAAATGGTGGCATTGTTAACCCGTCCAGATTTTGACGGGTTAATCAAACGGTCAGATTGTAAAAACAGTTTTTGTTGTGGTTTTTGAATTGCAATGTGAAACCAAATGAATGGATCGTCTTTGACACAGGGTTGGGACAAAGAGACTCGAAGTCTCTGGGAGACCTTAAGACACGGTGCCAAAACCTGCACATTAAAAAATTCCAGATATAAAATCCATTCACAATTTTGGCACAATACAGTTAGACATTTCAATATCAAAATCACCGACTAAAAAATGCATGTATTAATTGCATGTAATGGATATCCGCAAGAAATATTAATTAGTATTAGCATTTAAGTTACTTTTAAATCATGATCACCTTATTTTATTCCATTCTCCTCTTCATTTTCAAACGAGAATTGAAACAATTTCATATAATCAATTTAATTATATGATGCATTTGCCAGTATTCACTCATTCATATGCATATGTCTAGTTATTTTTTTTATTTGCTTTTTCATTTATTTTTAATTTTTATTTATCATAAATGACCGAATAGGCATGAAACCCCCTTCCCGCTTTACTGAAAGGGAGAAGCTATCAACGATTAACAAGAAAAAAATCAGCAATATTCAGAAACTTGAGTGTAAAGTACTCATAATTCTAGGAGCTGTAAAGTTATTTGCAGCAATACTTGAGTATAAACTAAATGATCTGGTCGACAGGGGATTTTTTTTCTTCCATGGCACCTGATCCCACCTCTGATGTTATAGAGATCTGTGTTTGTTCTGTTCCCATTTTGTACGGTTCTGGCTTTTTGGGCTTGATCACGGGTTTATTTTCATATTCCGTGGCATATTATTCTCTGTACAGTTGTTATAAACTTTAAGCTACCGGTAGTCCAGTACATCATGGTTTGTTACATATATAATAAATCATATGCTGTTCTCTATACATTTATTATAAACTTCAAGTGACAGCAATACTGGAGTAAAAAAATATTATTTAATTAAATTATAAAAAAAAGTCGTCCAACTATACTGTGCCCCACTTTGCAGAACAGACATGTGCATATAATTGCATATTATCTTCTCACGATAGCTCTGTCTGCATAATACATAAGTATGTGCTGACATTTTTCTTTTATTCTTTAGAAACACCATATCCTTGAAGTTGTTGGGGTCATCAGATTTGCGTCAATCTATAAAGCAGTAGAGACTAGACGGCCGTCTTTGTTAAGTACCTTGCCAAGTAACGAACCTCAATTTCAATAAAATGCATTTATTTCTAATTGTATTGTTTTAACTAACAATGAATGATAATCAGTCATCAAATATTGATTATTTTAAAAAAAAATTTAATTAATATTACATTATCAAACATATATTTACCCTGGGGCAATTAAGATGCACGGAAGTTGAAAAAAAAACCCATAAACCCCTCATCCTGTTCCTAAACAAAGATCTGTATGGACATTGAACGGTCTGTAAGTGACAATTTACACTTCTTAAATGATGTGTAGACTGTCTCCTTCTTATGCAGAACTTGATTTCTACACTTCAACGTTATATTTTTCCCTCTTGGATACCCCAAAATTTTGATGCAGATCTGAAATGAATCATTCTCGAATAGAAAATAACAGGAATTAAATGCATTAAAATTGTTGCAGTCTTGTCTTAAGTTGAGTACATATGCATTAGAAGCGCTATTTTTGTAAAATATTTGTTAATATTTATCATAGAGAGAGAGAGAGAGAGACTATAAGTTCAGAGTTTATAATGTAATATTTAATATATGTTCAAAGTAAAGATGGTCGACTGAAAAACCGTTTGATAAGAATGAGTATTTCATTTTTATGTTAGAATCATAGGTGTTTTTCTCTCATGAAATTGTATTTCTAAATCTAAAGTATTTTGGCATTATTCTCTTTTTATTCTTTTATCCATTGTTTTCGTGCACCTTTGACCACATGCATTAGTATACATTTGTACTCAAATTATCCAAAGGATTCTAAAATATCTCTTATTGTGTTCAAAATACTTTTAAAGGTAAAAGTATAAAATGAAAATGCTCTACTTATAGATGTGCCTACACGTGTAAACCTTTACTTAAACTTTATATACATGCTGGTGTTCACGAATTTTTTTATGTGAAATGTGTAACATTTAAACGTATTAATCTCAAGGGCAGAATTGTTACAAAAAGTAACGGAATTTCAACTTCCTTTCGCAAATAATAAATAAACACATGTAAATGAAATAAATACTTTTAAGTCAGTGAAATACTGTTACTTACGGTGGCTGGTATAGGACATGGTATGAGAATTTTTTTTATTAATTCGTGGCCACGAAATAAAATTCGTGGGAACGAAATAAAAATTCGTGGCCACGAAATAAAAGATAAAGAATCTAGTGTATTGACAGATCGGGTTCGTAATTTAGATGTGTCCATAGACGCGCGCGCGGATCTGCAGACAAAAAGCGGACAATACATGTTATTTACAATAGCTAAGATTATGTCCAGTGCATTTTTTAATGTATTTCACACATTTATTGCTAGATGTTTCAATAAATAGAATGTACTTGTAAGGCTTGTTTAGTCAAACACTCAATGTTTATTTATTTAACAATTAGTGGCAGAATAGGCCCCTATTATCGGGAACGTGACATCTTAAAAATTAGAGCAATATTCATATATTGTCATGATTGTTTTCACATAAATACAAATGAAAGTGTGTTTACTTCAATAAAGGTACATGTAATTGTTAAGGCATTGCTTGACATACTAGAGAAGAGGCTAAATATGACATTATATAGCAGAAAATTTATTTCGTGGCCACGAATTTTATTTCGTTCCCACGAATTTTATTTCGTTCCCACGAATTTTATTTCGTGGCCACGAATTTTATTTCGTTCCCACGAATTTTATTTCCTGGCCATGAATTTTTATTTCGTGGCCACGAATTTTATTTCGTTCCCATGAATTTTATTTCGTGGCCACGAGTTTTATTTTGTTCCCACGAATTTTATTTCGTGGCCACGAATTTTATTTTGTTCCCACGAATTTTATTTCGTGGCCTCGAATTTTATTTCGTTCCCACGAATTTTTATTTCGTGGCCACGAAATTTATTTTGTTCCCACGAATTTTATTTCGTGGCCACGAATTTTATTTCGTTCCCACGAATTTTATTTCGTAGCCACGAATTTTTATTTCGTTGGACCACGAATTCTATTTCGTAACCTCGAATTTTATTTCGTTCCCACGATTTTTTTTTTCGTGGCCACGAATTAATAAAAAAAATTCTTATACCATGTCCTATACCAGCCGCCGTATATACCAGCCACCGTAGTTACTTGTCATTTCATGCAGTCCACACAATTTTTGCAGCATGCAAAAAAAAAAAAAGGAAAGAATGAAAATGGAACCAGTCTTGAGGAATACTGTTCATAAAATGGGCTAGAGCTTAAAAGTGTTCTTCTCTCTTACAAATGTGCATTGCATCTTTTTCATGTATCCCATCCTCCAATATCAAAGCCCCCCCCCCAATTCAGGCGCGTTAATTAAATTTAACTTACACTGATGATGGAAATTAACAAGCTTTGTTTGACAAAGAATTTGTGTTACCAGCTTTACGGGAAAAAGGGAAGAAGAAATGAAAATAACTTATATGTAATAGTATGCAGATCGAGAAATTAAGTTAACTTGGACATTTTTGTTTTTAGCCTTAAAATCAAAAGAAGGTTTTTTTTTTTTAAAAAAAAATAAAATAAATGAATACAATATATCTTAAAGTTTCATTGCAAAAGCTTACAGAAAAGCTAATCGTATAATCTACATGTGTGATTTAATCTATTTCTCACCTTGACCTTCTGACTTCATTATAATATAATGAGTTCTTCTAAGATCAAGGGAATTACCGACTGATTGATTTTTTTTTTCAAGAAGGCTAAATAACTAAATTTATCATCTGGAAAATGTTTATTGCAATGTATGAATTTCTGACCTTGACTTTTGATATTAAAACCAAAGGTGTCTTGTTTAGACCATGGAGAGATATTGTTTAGAAACAATAGTGTCACCGATATGGTACACAGAAATCAAATGTGTGAATTATGACATTGACGCTTTGACTTCAAAATCAAAAGGGTTCCGCATTATGTCAGATAGAGTTGTGATATCAATTTTAATTTCTTTAAGCCACAAGGAGACGAGTTGTAATAGAAAATTACACTGCAAAGACTCAAAGGCATTTTAATATATCATCCAGAAACAACGTGCTACACACAAAACATAATGTCCTTTAATTTTTTTTCTTCACCTTAGTACTAGTGGGGTTTGTTAGGCCAACAAGAATTGTGGTACAAAACTTCAATTTCATTGCAGAAGTTCACAGTTCTTGCGTGTTTTAAAATGTCCTAGAGGCTTCTTGAGATACTTGGGGTATATATCTAAGCAAGTTTACACACTGACAGAATGACATACAGACAGACAGCCAGTTCAAATTAATGCAGTCCCACCTTTCACTGGAAGAAGGAGGGAAATCTAAAAAAAAACACTGATGGATTTGTTTTAATGTTTAATGTCATTCAAAGACAATATATTCCATGATATGACAAGATGAACACAAATCAATTGTGACAACAAACAAACAGACTGACACACTCTTCCATAGAACCTGTATTCCTTTAAAAAATATACATATATCAATATATACATCTGTATTGCTTTTTTCTCCAAATAGGAATTCTTTCGTAGAATCAATTTTACAGGAATAAATATATTGTCAAAATACAAGAATCACTCAAGTACTCAAGATTAGAACATTCAATATGCAATTAGTTTATAACATAAATTATTAGTAGCAAACAAATAACAATATATATGTATATTCTAACAAAATTACTTAAGAATTTTCAAGCAACATTGCAATAGGATTGCATTAGTATTACCTGCAGTTATCGTTTCAATGACACAGATAAATTTTAATGGACCACACAGGTAAGAGCTATTTTTAGACATTTGAACAGATTGATTATTATGAACACTCAAAAATGTGAAATGTCTTATGATTTATACTCAAATGTGAAAAAGCTACATATATCCTGCATTGGTCTAATTGAAGAGAAAAAAAAGCCCCTATGATTTTAGCACTTTTTATCCAGTGGGACTTGTGATTATTATTTATCATGATGGCCCGATCCTAAATTCCTTATGATGGTATTTCCTGCTAAGTTTAATGAAACAAACAAAAGAATGAAAGAATGTACAGTCATTTTTTCAAAGGTTAATTCATTTTGAAGAAATAAAGCTTTAACATCATTACACACTGGAGTGAAATGATTTTTTTTTAAGAAATGACAAAAATGCCCCTCCAGATATCTTTGACTTCATAATTAGATAAGGGAAAAATTAATAAATTGTCATTTCACAACATGTTGTTTCAGTTGACATTATTTAATGGAAAACGAAATCTAAAATCCTCTTTAACTCATTAATGTACAATGACACACTTGAAGATGCTCAGTATAATAGAAAGTAAGAAGTATACATGTATTTAACTTAAGCCAGAAACCTGAAGCAAATTTTCATACATATATAATGTTCAATATTGTCATTTAATGTAGAACCTGATTTCTAATTCGATACAAGTAGGGTGGATCACAAAATGTACAACCTGATTATTTTTTATTAGATACATGTTGCACCAAGCACAACATTCATTTACAAAAGTGTGGTTACAGCATTGTTTTTTATCAACAAATTAAACCAACCAAAACTTGTACATGTGGCTTTATATAGCCGTTTTTATTAATGAATCATACCCATTAATACCACATTAGTATGCTCATTATAACTGTAGCAGACACCTTTTCTAACATTTAATGCAACTTGACAAAAAATATCCACTGAAACAGTGTGAAAATTAATAAGGCAAAACAAAAAAGAAAAAAACACATTATATGCTCCTAAAAAAAATGGGAGTTTTGCTAATATTACTCATTGTCTGAAAAAAAAATTAAATGTCAAAAGATAGATTTGATGAAGGAAACAAGAGCAATATAATATGGAAATTAATTAATTAATCAGGGAAGTAATTACAGACCTAAGACAGTAAATACCACACGTGAATAAGATAAAGTATGACAAACACCTGTAGTGTCTCGTATGGAAAGGCACGCACAGCTTAAAACCGAGGGAGAAAAAAAATCTCACAAATCTACAGCATCATCTGTAACAACCACACACAGGGTACAGGCCATTCTAATTTCATAATCACTTCACAGAAAGTCGTACCATTCTAAAAACATCAGAGCTCGTAACAGCAAAACAAAAGAGCAAGCACATAATTTTTCATAATGATTCACAGCAAGTGCAACAGATTGCATAATATTGGGATCATTAAAACACTTTTTTATGAAATATACATAGAGAAAATATTTTATAACAAACAATGCATATTATGTCAGTTCAAGGTCTTTGTTTGACATGCATGCACCAGATTTAAAAGTGCAGTCATGTTTCTTTTAACAGTGCAGTCATGTAAATATGAATATTTGCAAACACATCTTTATGACCATTTTCAAAGTACAGCAAATCTAGATATGTAAAATTAAAATCTTTTATCAAAAAGAAACAAATTGAAATCGTAACTGAAAAAATGAAGACATTATTTTTGTATTGATTCTGTATAATCTTTTAACTGTTTTTCAATTAAACACCATATTCTTTTTTCAGACTGGACAGCTCCTTGTTACCAAATAGTCCAGAGGGGGATTTCTGTAGATTTGAAATGACAGTCTGGATATCTGAAAAAGAGACCAAACCAAACATAAAATCCTGACATAATAGTTATATCTGTTACAATATATCTGAATACAGGTACAATGTATTTTAAAAAACACACAAGGTAATGTTCAATGTAAGATAGTACAAATGTACATGTATCAATTTGAAAGTTTTAAAAGTTTTAAACAATGACTGCAATGAAAAGTAAAGACATGTGAATGAGTGGTGGGGGTGGGGGGGGGGGGGGTTTACTGTTTACTTTTTAGAGTACACTGTGGGATAAACATTGTTCATGGGTCACCCTTATCCACAAATTTACATCGATCCCCATACTTTTATTTTGTGAAATTTACATATTAATTCATTAAATCTAGTGTATAAAGGAGTAACCCACATAATTATGTCCTCATTAATTAGAAATAAAAAACATTGTCAGGACCCAATTTAAGGCATTAAAATGATTCCACAGTATATAATTTATTACGATCAGATACAGTAGGTAATTTAGATTGATTGATTGATTGTATACTGTTTAACGTCCCTCTCCAGAATATTTCACTGATATGGAGACGTCACCATTGCCGGTGAAGGGCTGCAAAGTTAGGCCTAAGCTCGGCACTTACGGCCTTTGAGCAGGGAGGGATCTTTATCGTGCCACACCTGCTGTGACACGGGGCCTCGGTTTATACGGTCTCATCCGAAGGACCGCCCCATTTAGTCGCCTTTTACGACAAGCAAGGGGGTACTGAGGACCTATTCTAACCCGGATCCCCACGGGACAGGTAAATTAGAGTAAAAGAGCTACAAATTTTACAATATATGAATCTAGTAATTACCTTTCTTTTCAGCGGTAGATAAAAACATGGCATTCATAGAAAATCGTGGAACCTTGGTTAAATGATACAGAACACTGTAGCTCAAATCCACATCACCTGAAATAATAAATGAATACACAGTAAGTTGCGCGTCCTACGACCATTGTTTAAAATATGTAATATTTTCTTAAAAGGGAGTAAGTTTTCCTAGTTTCAAAATGTTTTGTTTAAAAATGAAATGCCATAATTTACTTTCTATGTCATTCAACTAACTACGTGTATCAAGGTAAGCAACTCTCCTTATGTAAATGTCTACAGTCGAGTTCTCTTTCTTGATTTTAATTTGAATAGAATACATATGATACCTTGGGTGATGAATTTTTCTGCCACACACTTTGTGATTTTGTTCAGCATTGGCCCATCAAGTTTATTACTTATAACTGAAAAAAAGAGGAACAAAGATTACAATTTGCATTTCCCAAACTGACATAGGACATTTCAAAAGGAACACTGGACATGATTGTTTCAGAAAAAAGGAATTATAAACTTTCCATAAAAAAAGATTTCTTTTTCCTAACATAGCCTCTGTTTTTGATCACACTCGATGATTTGTATGTACTTTATAAACATACATGTACAGACATAACAGAAACATTTCCACTTAAAAGTTTACATCTGCTTTTCAGTTTCCTCCTTAAAGTCTTATACATGTTACTTTGCAGATAAATAATATGGGTATACATGTATTATAACTTCGAGTAAGATATTCAGGAAAAAAATAGTATGCTTAATTAAAATTCAAAAGATTTTTACCTTGAGGTAGATCTTTGGGGGAAATCTGTCTTAACAAATCAGCATACGGTTGTGTGTCTGTCACATTCTTCAGGGAATTCCACGCCTGAATGAACTCGTAAGGAGTGGCCTTCTCTAACTTTGGCGCAGCCGGGGGTACCACAGGAAGTCCGGTACTGGTCGGTTTAATACCGGATTTCTGACTGGCTTTACTGGGAGGCACCGGAGTGGATGATGATTGTTGTGAAGTTGATGATTTCTCTGATGTAGCCGACGACGTTTCTGAGGATTTTTGCGATGATGTTTGTTCCACTGTAGACTTGTTTTTCTTGCCTTTCTTTTTAGACTTCGGTTCTTGATGACTTGAGTGGTCAGCTGGTTTGGCCTTGGCACCAGGTTGTTGACTAGGGGAGGAACCGGTTTGTTTAGGACCGACACCAGCTTCCTGGGTGGTTTGTTTTACACTGGGCTGATTGGATGATTTCTGTGTCTCCTTTGGAGTCCCTTGTTTACATTCCTCTTGTTTGTCTGAAATATACAAAATTAATGTCCTAGCTTACATGCAAACTAAACCTCTTACAAGATGTATATTCTTTTCTAACTTTCATATCTAATATATTGTAATCTTCGCACCTGTTTTACTACTTAATATGAAAATAACCTCTCCAGTCAATGTAATAATTCCATCATGAGTGTAGCAAATTAAGATTTACTGAATATATTTCTTACACACTAATCACAGTATTAGGCAAAAGAAATATTTTTTTAGACACTACTGCATTGACCAATTTTATTGAGATAGTGAAAGGGAAATAACTCAATTTTCTTTTCCCGAATATTGTAATTATTGGCCTGAGAAACTAAATATCTTTTTTTTTTTGGGGGGGGGGGGGGGGGGGGGGGGGCTACTTACATGTACCCTAATCTAATATATTTTTGCAAAATTCTAGAGAATTTATATCAATGAACAGGATAGCAGCTTTTATTTATACAGTGCCCCACTGCAGCATGATAAGCACGTCAAACATTGTTCAATTAATTCTCATTAACAGGGGAACATGAAAGCCATTACAGTATGGGGATATAAACGAGTTATTCCTATTTGTAAGATTAAAATTCAATTGAACTACTGACCTACAATTCCTAAATCCTACACTCAATTTATTCCTGTTTTACAGTTTTCACGTTTAACACAAATTAACAGTACATCACCATTGTCCTACCTTCTGACTCCACTTCCTCTATAACCATTCGCTTCCTGGTTTTCTGTTTCCCCTTCTTTGGCTCAGGCTTTTCTTCACTCTTGCTGGATTCCTGATGTTTAGATTTTGGCAAACTTCCTTTTGAACTTGCTTGGGGCTGAGAAGATTTCTGATTGGCTGATGATTGACCTTTCACCTTTGACTTCTTATCCTCATTAGATGGCTTTGCTGCCTCCTCTTCATTTGAATCACTGCTGGAGCTTTGAGGTGGACGTGACTTTAATTCCTATAAAAAGTTATGATTACATGTATTTCATTATTCATACACATATTAGAAAATGTTTTCTCTTATGAAGCTCTCTTTCAGCAACCTGTGTCTATAACTAGAGAGAAATAACTTGACACATACATGAACCCATTATACAAATTCATAACGCTAAAAAGTCACGAGCGCTTAACGTGGGATCATTTTACACTTACATGTACATGAAGAACATTCAGCAGTTATAGCTGAGTTTTGAAATACAATTTTTATGCTGAGTTTATGTTAAAAATATACCTCTCGCCAGTAGTCCTTGACAAGTTCTAATTCTCGTTTGGCAGCTGTATTTTTGTTGTCAACCCTTAGTAAGTGAACCAAGTCACTTAAACTGTCTTTGAACTTCTTAAGCATCTGCAAAATAAAAGACATTTCAAATTAACTGCAATGCATTAAAAATTAATTCATAAATTCAATCTGTCACCATGATTCTGGTCTCTAAATTGTACCAGCAGAGCTTTCCTTAGAGCTATATATGCCGTATTAGTGTTTTATTTTAAAAGTAATAAATATATATGGTGTCTCATCAAGTTATATAAGTTATATACTTTCTGCAAATAAGACAATTCCACTCCATCACTTTTAAAAGTTATGAAATATTATTTGGTAAAAGTTATTTTCTCTCCGTGTCGGATAAAAAACCGCCTCTTATTGAAATATTCATGATCACGTTGTCGTGTATGTTTACAGCAAACAATGGTCCAATCTCGTGAATGAACCGAAAAGTATGATGGTCTACTACGTTTTTACTACAAACACGTGAGTTAGGGATTGTCAATATTGAGAGCACCTCAGAGTTGGCTGCTTTTCGTACCGACGAATAATCACGTGCAATTGTCTTTACAATGGACATTTTCGGTCGGGTGAACTTCTACAGCTGTCAGCGACTATGGATAAAGAAGTGTGGAAACCATGTTGTGCCAAAATGAAATAACCAATACAAACAAATGATATAATTTGATCAATCAAAATGGTTATTAGATACATTCGATTCTGCATTTCTTAATGGTTCAAAACAACAAAAGTATTCCACAGAATAGCATGTATAAATCTGCACAATATACCGAATGCCAAAACCAGAGTACTACTAAAAAATATAATTATATTCTTTACATATGAATCACAATATTTCTGACCCCTTGAAAATAATATAAAAAATCTTGCAAGTAGGTTATCAGCATTGGCGCGGGCTAATTCGAAAGTGAAATTTGGAGTTTGGCGGTAAATTGTAGTGAATGAATAAAATTTAGTAGTGAAAGATATTGGAACCTATTTTACTTGTCAGATTTCTTCGAGCTAGTTGATTTTTATTCTAACTGTTCTATCCCCCCACCCACTTAAAAAAAAAAACGATGCTACCTACCTGAATTAATTTTTCTTAATGGTGTTCATCGAAATGCTTGGTTGTGCCCTCATACTGGAATAGTTTTTAGAGGCCTGGAATTCCTTGACCAATTTTATTTTATTAGCCCAACTATATTTCTAAGAAGGCAAGATGTATGGAATGTAAGTTTCATCTACATATGTCATGTAGTTCATATTAAAAAACCAAAAGGGATAATTGACGATATCCCATTCAGGGTGTAAACATAGCAGTTTAAATTACCCTCGAATCATGAGTTTTCGTGGCATTACGGTTAATTTGTAATAAAGTGCTTCAAGACTCAATAATTGAGATGTTTGCTATTTATCACATATACAAACAATAATTCTCCTTATTTTAAAATGATTTTAACTCACATATTATTTGTTATCTGTTCAGAAGGTCATTGAATTCTTGCATAGTTGCTCTTTGGATTTTTTTGATGACGTCATATTTTTTTCGTGGTATTTATAAAACAAGTAAACTACGGAAATCTAGTCGGGCAAAATCCTTCTAAATTTTACAGTGTCAAAAATACTAGTTAATTGACAAAATGATTACATTATTTACATGGAAATTTATAGTTTATTAATTAAGACCACATCTATCTAGGCGTGCCTAAGCAGCATTGCTAAATAATGTAAAAATTTTCTCTTTCTCAAGAGTGGCCTAGAAGTAATTATGTAAAGCTTTATTTTAATGTTTCATGTTTTGAAATATGAATTCCATGTATACTTAAAGAAATTAAATGTTTAATTCAATTAATTATCAATGGCATAATATTTTTTTTAGCATTTAACTTTTAAACACCCCCGATATTTTCTTTGAAAATTATATAAAAAGATGACGTTACTAGATCACCGTAGAAAAAAATCAAAAGTGGGAAATTCCAAATTATTGTCACATGACCGGAAGCTGTATGGATAGTTAACAGACAAAGATATGCAGGATCACCGGCTATTAGTTTGTAAGTTTGATATTCTAGTTCAAAACACGACGAATAAGCGTATATTACGCAAATTGTCAAATTTGCGAACTATGCATAACTCACTCGCTATATTTTATATCATTTGGTCATAAAACATGCACAGGGTTCCCCTTTATCAATAGCAAATATGACGTCATTCCGATCTCGCATTGTGGGATTATTCCTAAAAATAAAAAATACCACGAAAACGTATATACCATGAAAACACATGACGGGACGGTACTTTCCATACATTGTATTTGACATAAAATATCTATTGCGCATAATGCGCTCCATACTGAAGATCCGTAAATGTTCACCCAACCAAAAATGTCCACTAGCAGTACAGCACGGGGAAACTCTAAACAAACGGACCTGTACAATATGGAGTGGGGAAAACTTTAATTTTCATCATTGTTAATCATTTGTATGCAAATATGAGCATGGGATTAGTAGATAACAATGTACATAATGCATCATGTCTTTCTGAGAGCGATTTAAAAAACTAGCCTTTTTGAAAAACACATGTAGTATTTTATGTAGTAACCCATAAATGCATTAAATGCAACTCATTGAGCTGATTGGTCTATTTGTGTCCCTCACTGAACAGACATCACAAAAAATATTTTCCTCGACCTGATGATTCTCGCGATGCTTTTCCCGCGCACATGCGCAGATCCAGGATAAACGTCAGTCCTTTATAAATATGCATGAGAATATCGTGTTCTTTTCCTGACCAGTACTTTGTTAATACCGAATAAAATTTCGTCGAATTTGCAAGAATGCTTCATTTTTGGTAGCTTATCATACTCCAGAAATTTTTGTTCGGTTTCAGCTGTGCAAAAATACTGTTTAACACAGCATACATATCTTTAAATGCACCTAAATTCACTGTACATAAATTTTGACTATATAAATTTTACAACAATAAGCTTTAGCAGAACTTACAATCCTGGGAAACATGTAATAATAAACATGTAATCAAAGATATTAGGTAAAGCTCAAAATGAAATACTGTACAAGTGGAAATTTTAGAGAGACCCATATTTAGCGATTTGTCCTTAATTCATTTTAAGCAAATGTAATTTTAGCAATTTAAAAATGCTCACTAAAAAAAACTTATACAAATTAAACACAATTTATTTTTAGTGGTGTTCAATTTTAGCAATCTTAACATCCTTGCTTATTATGCCAAAATTAAATCCTTGCTAAAAATTCTGCTTATAAGGTACATCTACATGTATAGGTAACCAGCTTGCACTTAATTATTGCATTATAAACTCATACTAATGACACATTAAAATTGAAAAAAAAAACTGTAATCACTTCTGTATTTTAGGTCCATCATTACCTTTTTGGCCTGTGCCCTCCTAAACAGAGCTTTCACATTGTCCTCTTCTATAGACAGTGCCGTGGTACAGTCCTGTTCCGCTTGCTCTGGTTGGTTGATTCGGATGTAACACAGCGCCCGATTGGTGTAGCTGACAGTCTGTCTGGGATCTAACTCTATACAGCGGGTGTAGCACTCTATAGCTGGCTTAAACTCTGACTGGAAAAAGAAATTTCTACTGTTACTATGATATCATGAAGTGGGGTCAGGATGTCTTAAAGATATTTGAGAATTCTTGACAAGAGATATTCCTGACATGAAACTATCCACTATAATTGTTGGTTCAGGTTTTACCAAAACATTGGACATTCAAGGCTGATTTCCAGAATCAAATCACTAATATCCTGTATCTTAATTAGAACTGACCATTACTTCTGTACATGAATGTGTATATACTGTATAGGGGATTAATTTCATGAGTTGTAATTTTCACGTTTTTCTCTCATCTGACACGATCGTGGTTTCTTGAATTCGCAGATTGGGTTTAAAATAAAAGTTACCTCCCTTGTCTATATACATTTAATCCATACCATAGCTACATGTAAACGACATTAATAAACGTAATGTCTTTATTTCACGAACAATAGGGTAGGTTAATATAAAATTGTTAGATATAAAAAATACATGCAATTGACGATTAATTAAAACTAGTAAAGTTTTAAAACGTCCTTGACTGTAAACGCAAATGACTTTCCTATATTATGCTATTTTGACGAGTTCAATCATGTACACCCTTAGATCTTAAATACAACGCGGCGAAAAAACCACTGGACAGCAATAAATGTACTAATGTAGTCAGACGATCAAAATAATATCCTTCCACATTTTCAGTAAGTTCGATAGTCGTTTGAATGATTTTAAAAACCACATTGTTGATAAAAATTAATATGCATGATAATGCAGGTAACAAATACAAGTGGTAACATTAGTTTTGCACGGGTAATCAAAACCCATGGCCCATGTGTTTTGATTGAGGAAACGTAGCATTAGATATTAAAACAGCTCTTTAACAAGTACAGGTTATTATCTGCTGATTGGAATTCAAGTAGGGCGTGATAATTAAAATAACTGAATGACAAGTACTACTCGTAATTACTGAAATGGCCATGAACTGCACGTACATGTATATAAACCTGCAGTTGTCTATATATTCTCAAATTTCCGAATAAAACATATAGATTATTTAAAATTTATTCACTATTTCTTGAATTCACGGATTTATCAACACCGTGAATATAGCGAATATTAACACTGCAAGTTATTTTCTCCCTATGCAGTACTGTATTTTATGCTGAAAGAGATTCACATGCCTTTTATATACATGTAGTATGCAACAATCTCTGCTCAAACAAGAATCAACAAAGAATGTGTAATCATGAATGCATAATTATAATTCTTGGTTACCCTAATTGGTCTATGCTAGGTAGATTCACTCAATCCTCTGTTCACCTAGAAAAGATGTACAAATACTCTTGAAAAGTTATAGATTTGTTATATCTTGATACCTACATTCTTAACATGCTCATTCCCCCTGCTCTTAATCTCATCAAATGACTCCTTTTTCACAGGTTTTGTGGGTGAATCACTGGGTATCTGGCTTCCTGATGATGATGATGATGATGTTGATGATGAAGTGGCTGATGATGGTTGTGATGATGAGGATGATGACCTCTGAGATGACGTGGACACTGATGACAGGGTGGGAGGAACACTGGTGGCTCCCTCTGGAGTCCGTATGTCTGGGATCTCCCAGGGTAAAACTGATGGGATTTTAGGGATTTTATCTCTCCAATGTGGACCATCCACTGATTTCAGATGATTGTGACATCTAAAATTGAACAGAAGATTTACCAGCATATTTTTCTAAGTATTTATAAATCCACTCCATGTCTGATATATCTTTCTTTTGTATTTTGTAGAGCATGTTTTATTGAAAGAAAAGGAATTCATCAATAAGAAAAATGTTTCATTGTCATGGATATTTCTGTTTTTGTCAGAATTCATTATCCATAATTTTTCAAATTCACCTAATGTATGGAAATACATGAAAAAGACCAAAGAAAAAAAAAAAGATTCCTCCTCTACAAAAGATTCTTCCAAAAACATTTTTCACATGGGAAGTTAGCTCTGAAGTATGTGGACAGATTTTATAAATAGTTCAACAATTACATGAAATATAACAGGTAACTGAGTGCCTATACATGTAATTACCTGGAGGAGCCTTGATGAGCGATGTCTATACTGCTGTCTATATTTAGAACATGTTTGTAGTCTACATAGGCCTTCCTGAAACTGGAAACATTTAAACAAATAAATAATCATACAAATACAAACTAATTCATGTGCTTCATCATATTCACTTTTTAATATATAAGTTTGACATTTCTGTGTATGCTGCAATGCAAAGAGTTCTGCACATACATGTATTTCTCTCTATACATGTACATGTATTATATACAACAAAATAAAAAAAATGTCATACCATTTAGCATTAAGTATACTTTGCTTTAAGAAAACCCTTGATGCCTGTCTATGTACCTACTTTTCTAACATTTCGAAGGCATTGCCCCGTCTCAACAGAGGTTTTATAGAGTGAGGCACCAGTTCTAGTGACGATGTACAGTCCTTTACAGCTGTGGAACAGTCCCCTGTCTTAAGATAGCAGGCTGCACGGTTACTGTGGATCAAGGACTTGTTCACTATTTGGTCTGTTTTTTCTGTAGAAAGAATGCATTTTAGGTAAATTCAGTCATATTTTTTAAACAAACTTAATACACCAACAACTCTTTATTTATTTAATATATAACAACACCATAAACTGAAGTCCTTTTACCAAAATTTCATTTTTCCTGCCTTAAACAGAGCAGAAAGATCTAAAATAATTTCTCTAAATTATTCTCCATTTAATGAGAATGATTTACAAATACATGTAGTAATTAACAGAGGCAGCAGTACCTTTCTGGAGTCTTTCTAGGGCCTGAGTATATTTTTGTATTGCCTCCCCGTATTGACCCTCTCTGAATAACTGGTTCCCTTCCTCTCGGAGTTTAGCGATGGGACCAGGTAACGGATGTTGTACAAACACTGGTCTCACTAGCGCCACCTCCTCTGCTGGCTTTGGTACCACTGCACCACTAGACTCTGGCTGTTCTATCCTTGTACCTTCTAAAGAAGCATTGGCAATGTTCTCATTCTCAGAATTTTCAATCTCTGGTGGGGTAGGTCCACTACTTTCACTTTGCTGAATGGAATTTTGTGAAGGTATTGCTTGTGTACTTTCACTTTTACTAGAGTTCTCCACAAGTTCTGGCTTAGTTTTTAATGTTACAAAGTCCTGACTGCCTTTTATAGGTACTTCTTCCTCTTCCCATATATCTTTGTTATCACTTTTTTGATTTGAGGATTCATGGAAACCATTAACCAATGGTTTTTCTTCTTTCTTGCTGCTTTCACTGGGACCTGTTTTGTTCTTATTCAGTTCTTGCGATTTGACACTGACCGTTTCCTTCTTCTTTGCAAAACTCTTGTCCTAAAAAAATTTAAAAATCTTTTAAACATGCATGTATACATGGTTTTATCTTTTTATTTTCTCTGTCTTGCATTAAGATTTGAATTAACCTTAACAACATACTGTAAACGTATTACATTTGGCTGTGTATTCTTTTTAGTGGCTTTGGCGGAACTCAACAACCACTAAAACAAGTACACAGCTAAATGTCTTGCACATATACACATATTAAATAAGAATATGAAGAAATGCGCTAAATCAAATCTACGCTAACTTATTCAAAATTCAATTTCCGCCAAATATCGCACACGCTAAATATAATACATTTGTAGTATATATATTTACATTTTCAAAAGAAATATAATTTTAACTGACCGTTTCCCTATAAACTACATGTATAAAAGAATGCTTACTTCAACAATAACAATCACCTCATCAGCTGACATGACCTTACCTCCTCAATAACAATCACCTCATCAGCTGACAGTGACCTTACCTCCTCAATAACACAGTGACCTTACCTCCTCAATAACAATTACCTCATCAGCTGACAGTGACCTTACCTCCTCAATAACACAGTGACCTTACCTCTTCAATAACAATCTCTTCATCTGCTGACAGTGACCTTACCTCCTCAATAACACAGTGACCTTACCTCCTCAATAACAATTACCTCATCAGCTGACAGTGACCTTACCTCCTCAATAACAATCACCTCATCAGCTGACAGTGACCTTACCTCCTCAATAACACAGTGACCTTACCTCCTCAATAACAATTACCTCATCAGCTGACAGTGACCTTACCTCCTCAATAACACAGTGACCTTACCTCCTCAATAACAATCTCTTCATCTGCTGACAGTGGCCTTACCTCTTCTATGACTATCTCCTCATCAGCTGATTCTTCCTCTTCCTCCTCCACCTCCTCAATAACCATCCTCCTCCCTTTCTCCTTCCTCTGCTTCTTCTCCTCCTCTGCTTTAACTTCTGTCTTCTTCAGCTCCTCAATAAGTTCCTACAACAGAGACAAATTAAACTTTACAAAGCATGGTAACCCTATGTTATCAATTTATCAAAATACTGTGTATGTACAGTTTACTCCACTGCACATTGAATAATTGTGTATATTAAAGTCTGAATGGAACCTCATTTTTAACATGTAACTGTTGAGAGTTCAATTAATATATTTTATCTGGGTGATGTGGTAAAATATACTGAAGCTGTTGTCTTGGGCAAAACCTTAAAGAGGATTTTAAAGGTCAATAAACCAATAAAACATTTACTGTAAATCACTTTTTATTCGCGAGAACTTTATTTTCGCGTAAATACGTGAGACGGTATGCTCGCGAAAATTTTATTCTCGCTTATAAAAGAATTCCTTTAGATTATATAGAGCTGCATGACCACAATTCGTGAAAATATTGTCTCGCTTATAAAGAGTCAATGAATATCTCGCGAAAATAAGATGTCCCGAAAATTAAGTGATCTACAGTATTTTTACTGGATGTGAAGTCGGTAATCCATGTATGCAACTTCTTGCAGCTCAGGATCAATTTATACAGTACAGCATTAACATGCTGGTATTCATTTTAATCAATATATTTACTGTGAAACCTGTCTCATCTGACATGCACTAGGAGATTAGTAATTTTGAGTCGGAATACACAGGGTGTTGGTTTACAAAGTGTCAAATGCATGAAAAAGCAGTAGAATTGGAAAGAAATTTAATGTAGGAATTGACAGTTTGACGGATTACACAGTGTCAGATTAGGCAGTTTTCACTGTATTAGCATCATTGTATTTTAAAAAAGTTACCTGCGCTCTTTTGTTCTTTGGTTCTAACTCCAACACATACTGAAAGTCAGTCATGGCCTCGCTAAAACATTTCTTCCCCATTCTAGCCGATCCTCTCCTCAACAAGGCTACATAAAGATATAAAAAGAATCAAGGACCAAAACAAAACCACAAAATGTTCAGATATTAATCATTTAATTATCATCAAAATCGGTAGTGAAATTTGCCAGCATTTGGTTGTTTGCAATGGTAGTTTGTTTAAAGAGGTTACACTGGAAAAATTTTAAAGAATGATACATGTATGTTTATTGAATAAATTATATTTGCTTAAAAAAAATTCAAATAAAATTCCAATCAAAATCAGAGCCTTACATTCAAATACATAATAGATTTAAGCTTTCCACAGTACCTTTGATATTTTTGGGCTCCCATGAGAGAACTTTGTTGCAATCTGTTTCGGCCTTCATCCATTCCTTAGTCTTCAAATCTAACAATGGGAAATGTATGTTAACAAAAAAACATTTTTGTGAAGAAAAAAAAAATTTCATCTTTCTTTCACTAACGGCATGTTTCTTGAATTTGTTTTCTTTAACATCCAATTTTAATCCACAACACACAAACTTTTGTAAAGTTTTATGTTATTCTAGCATTTACATGAACCTTTGGGGAAAAAATTCCAAAATTTGACCATACAAGACAAATGAGAGAGGGAGAGAGAGAGAGAGAGAGAGAGAGAGAGAGAGAGAGATACTTACAAGCCAGAGCCCTGTTGTTATAGGAGGGAGGGGTAGGTAGCAGGGATATACTCCTGGAGTAGTATGATATCGCTTCTTGGTAATCTCCTGATCTGAAGGCCTGAAAATGATGACAATATTCTAACATATGTCTGCAGTACATGTGTATGTCTGATGTACCCTTTCAGTTGTAGTGTCTGTAAATTGAGAAATTAATAGACTGACAGCAAAATGAATACAGCCACAGAGAATTATATATGTCATTATTGATTTTCTACTAAAAAAAAGTTGACGTGACTGTCCTAAGAAATTGGACATATTAGAGTTCATGAGTATGTTTGGTTTAAGGTCAAGATCTTGTAAATAACTTTAGACTAATTTTTTGGTGCTAGATCCATTATGACGTCTTAATCAATTTCAACTTTCTTTTTCCCGTACTTTACGGCTTTAGCAGAATTATGTAGAAAATAGAGTATTTCATGACATTCAATTTGAAATCATATGAAAAGTAAACCGGGTACCTATATTAAATCTGATATGGATTTTAAAAAGAGGCCATGAACATACTAAGTACTGTTTTCTGAGAGACTGTAGGCAATCTGGATAGATTTCTTTTGTCGAATATGAAAAAAACTCCCATATTCATGACTAGTTTTCTTAATTTTTCATTGAAATTGACAGTTTAAAATACAGTTTTTCATCTTGTTTATCCTCAAATTATGCCCCAAAACACCTTATTTGACCAAGCTAAAGTTGTAAAGCATCAATAAAGGAATTTATTTCTCAAATTTGATAAATCTGTAGGCACCTTTCATTTACTATATCTTGACCTTAATACATTTAGGCATGGGCTTAAAACATACAACATGTTAAGATGAACCTGTGTTGCAGCTGTATTACACCTATACCCTGCAATATCATAAAACTTTCATAAAGTTGGAAAACAATGGATAACTTTAGATCTTTTGTACCTCATTTCCTTTGTCTTTTTCTCTGTTTGCTTTCATTTCTTTTTCCCTCTCTGACATTCCTATAATCAAAGTTGAAGCAGAAATAAAATATTTTTCACAAAACCAACATGGCACACAAAAAACACTTCACATTTAAACCTTTATAGAAATATACTCTTACTGATCAAATTCATCAGAGAGAGAACATGTGATCAAGGTGTAATAAGCATAGCATTATACTTGCCTGTAGAGTCTATGATATCTTCTATGACAGGCTGTGCTGAAGATTTGCCTGTCTCTCTCGGTTTTTCTTTTTCTGCAGCTTCCAATTCTTTGTCAATATCAAACCTATAAAATAACTCACCACATAAGAATCTGTTTGTTGAACATGTATAAAAATTCAAACATTGTGCCAAAAGCTTCTAATCTTTATATTTCTTATTAGCAAAAGAATTCAAAGATAAATTCTTGTATGTATGTTTCTTATCTGCTGAAAGACACAAATGATAGTACCGTAAATCTGGAAATTTTTACGTCGATTTTATTTTGCGAATTCGGGTCAAAATGGTGTTGATTAATTTTTACGTGTCAAAATTTTGCGAATTACCATTGCTTTGTTTACATTTTCTTATTGGTAATTTATTTTTAAGAAAAATATTTTTGCGAATGCAATGAACTCGGAAATTTGCTAAAAATTTATCTACAACAAAAATTTCCAGATTTACGGTATGTGCAAAGAATGGTTGCAGTATGCAAAAGCAGACATCCTTTCTCAGCATAAAACTCACTTGTCCCATTCTTTGTAGCTGCGGGGCATTGCTGGCTTTTTGTTTTCTTTGTTTTTCTCAGCCTGTAATTACAATAATTTTTCATATATTAGATTCCTATTAAAATTCTGATAATACTCACAGCAATACAAACAAGTAACCCAAGCTTAAATCACACATCACAGTGACAAAGTCGTTTGAACTTTTGAAAATTTGGTTAAAAAAAATTGTTAAAGTAAAGTCTAAAACTGTTTAAAATGTATGCCACAAATATCAACAATTAGAACTATAGACTAAAAGAAACACAGATTTCATATCAACTAATACCTGGACTGGTTTTCCACTTGTAGATATGGCTCCTGATCTTATTGGTGGAAGACTCTCATCATCAAATTCTGACACGCCATTGACTGATCCTTCCATCTCCTTTATATCTGATGTCCAGTTCTGTAACAAAATTGTCAAATATATCAAAATTTGACAAAATATTAATCTGGAAAATTGAGTAGGGTATCCTAATGACCTTGGTCTGAAACAATGCTTAATCATCAGAAAACTGGACAGATAAATTTAGAATGACATATTAAACCAGCTAGTGCAATCAAAGTAAGTTATCAGAACTAACAGTGTTTTGGTTCCACTGACAAGTTTTCAGAGAATCTGTTCTATGATATATAACATGTACTAAAAAATCTACCTGAAGATCTTTTTGTAAAGAATGTCCTTCATCTCGGTCAATCTCACTTATCTTCTTCACTGGATTGTCCTTTCTCAGAATCCGGCTAAAAAATTGACAAAAAATTATTATAAACATGATAAAGCTGGTAAGATTAAAATTCCAAGAAGTCTCCAGTGGTTCTCATATAAATTAAAGATTAACTAATTTTGCAGAGTTCTTAAAATTAAACAGATATTTAATTTAGAATATTATAATCCTTTATGTAAATTAATCCTTGCCTCATGGCATACCCTTCCACTAGGTAAACAACAGAATAAGACATATGGATGAAAACACAACATTATTTAGCACAACTTTACAGACAGAAGCTATAACGAACCTTGCAGGATTAAGTTTTTCTATCTTATCCTCACACTGCTTCTCCATTTCTGGGTACCTCCCTTCCACTCCAGATCTAAAAATATGTATATTGAGAGAGAATATTAAAAAAAAATTGATAAATCAAAAACAAGAGGCCCATGGGCCACAACACTCACCTGAGTCACTTTGATTCTGCTGTTTTGCATCAGATTTCCTTCCCAAAATGCAGGTATTTTTAGTATGTAAAATTTTGATAGCCTTTTGTGGTCTGAGCCTATACTTGTAATAACTTAATGCTTGTGATTATCAAAGACTTGAGAAAGCTTCCTTGTACTAAGTTTCAGCTTTTCAGACCCAGTGGTCATCAACTTCATGGTTTAATGAAGATTTTCTTAGATTAATGATTTATTTTGACTTTATTCTCTTGATTAAATTGGTAGGGGTGAAATGAAAAGTGTCCAATATATAATACAATGCATATCGACTGCTATCGTCTCATTTTGTATCGGTATAGTTATATTTCATAAGATACATTTTGACAGAAGGAAACAAATTCAATATGTTCAACGTTGTTTTATACTTACTTTACAGCATGAAATGGGATTGTATCCCTGCAACCGAAAAAACCCAACAAGAGCAAAATTTATCATTAAATTTACCAAAGCATATTACCTCAATACTTTGAGTATCTTTTCCAGATACTTTACATCACTGCACTCGTCAATGTACTTGTAATCTAAATGGGCGACTGGAATGTCATACTTCTTCGTGGTACCCATGGTCAACAAAGGGTTGTCCTGTCCAGACATTTTGGGATTCCCGTCAATGTGTTCTAAAAATAATGAGAAGTAAATGAAAGTCATGAGTCCTGTTCAACAGAGCATATAGTGCATGGGAACATTTCTATTGGAAGTGTAAGGAATTTTAGCGAGTTCTCGCAGACGTTCACTCTGTGTAACAGGCATCTCTTAAGGCGAAAAATTTGATAAAATGAAATACATAAGTATACTTTACCAAGTTCTGGGCTACTTTCTTTTTACAATATAGGGACTTGAGACAAGGGCTAGGATCAGAAAAAAACCTAATCAGTCTAAATGAATTGAAATTTTTAAACTTTTTACAAATTATCAGTTATGTTTTTATCAGAAATGAGGATTAGAAAAAACTCATACATAGATTAAGATTAAAGCTAAATTGAAAATAGACCGGAAAAATCCCAAAATAATGAACAAAATACACTGAAGTCAAATCGAAAATAGAGAATTTCACCAAATTGAAATACAATACATGGGCCTCCAAAACAGAAACTAAAGATATTAAAGGAGAAACTGATTGCCAGTCAATTTCTCAGGATGTCTATACAACTATCTAAAATTATCAAAATAGATAACCAACCTCAAAACTAACAAAAAATTCCGGCGTTCGCAATGGATCTGTAACCAAGTTCATGCAGGTTGTTGTATAGCAAATCTAAATTTTACCAAAACGAAATCATTGTGTTATGAATATAGATCAATGTTTAATTATGCATAATGTTGTCAAAATTTACAAAAATAATTTTGTTTGATGATTATTTGTCTTGAAAAGGAATGAACAACTTTCTGAATTATTTTACAAGTTAAAAATAAATTTTCGTTTCGTAGGAAATTAAGTGGACGGTGATCAATATGGCGACCTCCTCGAAGAAACGAAGTCTGTGACTAAATCGCTTTTTTCGTAACAAGGAAGAAGGTATATTTAGAAAGAAAAAGAAAATTTCAAAATGTACGATACAATTCTTCGAAACACAGGCATAACAAAAGTCTATTTAAACGACAGAGATCCTATTGAAGGCGAATTGGTAAACCCATTCTGAAGCAATAGATGAGTCCACACTTTTCAATAGTTATATCCCTTGGCCGCCATCTTTGGGGAAAACCCAAAGGTTTTCTTTGTAACTTTAAGTTTTTATACTTTTTCATGTGACTTAAAAAATAGCTGCATCTTTTATGCTGATTTTCCCAGGAAGATCTTACCTGTAGTGACTGAGGAAGACAAATTAAAGTCAGAGTTTATCAAAGTTGCAGATCTGTAGCTCTCTGGTCTTAAAAAAAAGGGATAGAGTGTAGATGACCAAAAAGCTAAGGTTCCACCCATTGTAAGAAGTGTTTATATGTAGGACTCCAAAGTCCATTGGTCATACCAAAGCATGATGGTCTGCACCTGATACGTGAAAGGTTTGACATGCCAAAGTCTGATGGTGCCGAAAACAATAATGTTTACGACGTCATAGTACTATTAGGAATAACTACAATGCTGTGCCATGCCAATGCCTCAAATAATTATAAATATCATAATGCGAAAACTAACCCTTAATTATTTCTCAGATACCGTATAATCCCTATTAGCCACCCCTGCCCCTATAAGCGCCCCCTTAAGTCTTTTCCCATTGTCAGGAAATAAGGGCCCCCTGTACAGTGACTAAAATCAACTAGAATTGTATCAAAAAATTGAAGAAAGTGAAACTGAAACTTGTTTATTATCCAATTTTTCGATGGAAAATGAATAATTTTGCATAATTTGGGTGGATTATCTTCATTTTAACTTAAGGTAGACATTATTATAGTGGTTCCTTTAATTTATTTTTTTAAAGATTTTCTTAAGTGAAATATGACATTAAATATCATTAAGAGAATACCAAAATAACTGCCCCCTTTTTGGCAATTATCTAAGTGCCAGGGGCGGTAAATAGGGAATATACAGTAGGTGCAAAACTAGCCCTAATCGCTTGAAAAGTGTGTAACAACTACAATGTATCACTTAGATATCTTGGGTGGGTGCGAGACTAACCCTATAATCACTGGACTAGTTTGCGAGGACTAACTCTAAATCTCTGGGGTTGGTGCAAAGCAAGGACTAATCCTAATCAGTTGAGTGGTGTGCGAGGACTTATCCTATCCCCGAAGGGTGCAAGAAATAAACAAAATCAATAAAATTGTATGTGATGGCTTTTGAAAAAGACAACAGTGTCAAGGATTGATGTCGGATTATTGTAACGTCATAAACGTTAATTGTTTCTCCACACCATCAGACTCTGGCATGTCAGAACATTGCACTTTAGCGAAGCACGTCTCATAGAAAACAAGCCATCAGACTTTGGCATCCGTACCAACAACAAACCATTGGGGTTTGGCGCAGACCATCCAAGTCTGGTGAAATCATCGGACTTTGGCATCACCATTGGACTTTGGAGTCTTACATATATATATTGTACACAAAAAATGTGCCTTTTTCCTAATTTATTTGTCTGAATATTTATGATGCCAATCTCAATATTTTATTAACCATGTGTTCCTAGAACATTCTTTTACTACTTTTACAACAAAACATTTCCCAAAACTGTTGTTTATAGCCCTACTGGGTCTGGTATTAAGACCATAATAAATTTGACCAATTTATACAGCCATATTAGCTGATTACTAGTATCTGGTAAGGTAATTCAGTCCAATGCACTTCATGCATTTTGTAATTACTTGTATATATGCAGTTTTGTTTTGGAAGTAGTAAAAGAATATGCTAGAAACATACTGTTACAGTTAGTATAACTTTGAAATACTGCAAATCACTTTTTATTCACGAGAACTTTATTTTCGCATAATTACCGGTACGTGTCACTGTAGGGCTAGGCTTGCGAAAAATTCATTCTCACGTATAATAGAATTCCTTAAGATTATATAGAGCAATGACAACAATTTGTGAAAATTTTGTTTAGCTAAATAAATAAAGAGTCAATCACTATCTCGCTAAAATAAGGTATTGCGAAAATTAAGTGATCTACAGTATAGTTTGAAAAAAAATCAAGAAACAGCTTACTTTTTTCAATGGGTGGCAAGATTATCATAGATCACTCAAATGTTTGGAAGTGTAAAAGAATATATTAACCCTGATCACAATATGAAATATGTCGGCGTGAAGTGTCATACTTCATGTCCTCTTGAAATCTCAAAAAATAAATTCATGTTCTAAATGAACAAATTAGAATAGAATCTACATGCAGGTAGCTTTGTAGGAAGTGTTCTACATGTAATTTGTAATTTTATTTTTTTATACATTGTGACTTGATCATATCTTGTTTAAAATTCATCAGTTTAATTTTATTTTATTATCAGGAAATGTCTCTAAAACCAAGGAAAGTAGATTTTGATGCCACCTGGGCCACTCTTCTGGAAACGGTGAAGGGGGTTGTTACTTGTGCCAAGGTTGGGCGTGCCACATGGAATGACAGATTTTCATATCCTTTTCTTTTATAGAATTTTTTCACAAAAATTTTGCTGTGTCTATGTAGCTATTAATAATTCTACTTTGATTTTATATAATAAATGCAGAGGTTAACCAATGGCTAACCAGTTCTGTATAGTCAAGAGTAAACTAAGTTCATAAGTCAATTGATAACTGTTTTTATCAAAAATGTTAAATGATCAGGTATTTTACAACATTTTTGACACATTAGTTCCTGTCACCAACAAATATAAGCATTCATTATAAAAATGCGTAGAATAATGACTAATTATAATTATATTTTAACAGCTTAACGAATGATTAAAGGTACACAAATATATTATTATACCAATAAGACTCAAATATTTACTAAGCAAGGAGTTAAGTCTGATGAAGTGACCTTAACGGCTGTCTACAGATGTGTATGCTCTTTGTGTGGCCTGTCCAGATCCACTGAGTGATAAACTCTACACAGAGACCAAAAAGTTCCTAGAAAACCACGTCTCAGAGCTCTATAAGGTACGGATAAACAAGATAAAATGATAAAATGAAGAATTATCCTAGAATTTGATTGAAATTTTTCTTGGGGGAACAGAAGGAGGGGACTTTCAGTTCATGTTAGACTGTATATAAAATTTTCAATAATAATAATTTAAAAATTTTTGTTACCATTATGGTCATGGTGATATGATGCATTGATATGGTATGCCTTAGAAATATTGACAAGTCTGTTAATAACATAATCTGCATGTACATGTAAATAAGAATGAAAAATTTACAAAGATTTTCAGTTTGTCTTTAGTGATACACAGCATAAGGTTCTATGAAATAACCATTGATATTTTTTCAATTTTGAAGTTGAATATTTTATTTCTGTAAATGCCACTTTGAATTTTTGCAGAAAGTACAAGAAAATGGTGAGGAGAACTGTTTGGCGACTTATCATAAGCACTGGGAGGAATACAGCCAGGGATCCGGGTATCTAAACCAGCTGTATGGGTAAGTGTGTGATAACTGAAACCATTATTAGTAGATAGTGATATATATACCAGTTTTGGCTTTGTTCTTGCAAGTATTTCAATGAGCTGTCTGCTACTGTCATTTCAAACTGGTTTTAAAAATTAAAATTTGTGTTATCTATATATGCCAAAAAAAAAAGAAGAAAAAGAAAATGTTCAATAACATTTTTGGATGTATTTTTGTCTTGAGGCAGTATAGAGATTACTAAAATTCATAATGTTCTTGATATGGAAATTTGTATTTTAGATACTTAAATACAACTTACATAAAGAAACAGAAATACACAGACGCTGATCTGAGTTATGGTGGAATCAGTACAGACACGGCAGACCAATTACTGGAAATAGGGGAGGTAAGCAGGTTCAGATGATAGGTGTGTAATATGTTAGGGGAGGTGAGCAGGGTCAAGTGATAGGTATGTAGTAAATCAGGGGAGGTAAGCAGGGTCAAGTGATAGGTGTGTAGTAAATCAGGGGAGGTAAGCAGGGTCAAGTGATAGGTTGTAATATAACAGGGGAGGTAAGCAGGGTTAAGTGATAGGTGTGTAATATGTCAGGGGAGATAAGCAGGGTCAAGTGATAGGTGTGTAATAAATCAGGGGAGGTAAGCATGACAATTGTGTGATACAACATGGGAGGTAAAGAGGGAAATTGATAGACCTAAAGTGAATTAAGTTTGAAATTCATAATGCCCATTTATTACCTTGGCAACTTACCAGTACATTTGACTTCATCAGGTTTTCCGTCACGATTACAAAGAAATTTTTTATTTGTAAATTACAGCTGGCTTTAGACACATGGAAAAGGCTTATGATAGAGCCACACAAAGAAACCCTCATCAAGCTGATTCTAAATGAGGTCAATCGTGACAGAATGGGAGAGATGGTCAATCAGACAGTGGTGCATGGCGTCATCAACTCTTTTGTCAACGTCCAGGAATACAAGAGGAAGCACCCCCTGCTGCTGTATGAGGAGCTACTGGAGAATCCGTACAAACAGGAGACTGGGGCTCATTACAGGCAGGAGGCAGCCAAGCTTAAGGACGAATACACCTGCTCAGAATACATGGAAAAGGTAGGCTTAAGGATGTATACAACTGCCTAGAGTACATTGAAAAGGTAGGCTTAAGGATGTATACACCTGCCTAGAGTACATAGAAAAGGTAGGCTTAAGGGTGTTTACACCTGCCTAGGGTACATGGAAAAGGTAGGCTTAAGGATGAATACACCTGTTCAGAGTACATAGAAAAGGTAGGCTTAAGGATGTATACACCTGCCTAGAGTACATAGAAAAGGTAGGCTTAAGGATGTTTACACCTGCCTAGGGTACATGGAAAAGGTAGGCTTAAGGATGAATTACCCTGCTGAGAGTACATGGAAAAGGTAGGTATGAATAAGTACATCTTTCAGAGAAAAAAAGAGGCTTTAAGATTAGTACACCTGCTCAGAGTACATAAAAAAGTAGGTTTAAAAATTAATTCACATTGTCAATTTATGGAAAATTTATACTCCAATACTATATCAATTCAGAATAATTGATAATTTTTTTACTCTGCTCTTTTTGGTTTGAGAAACATTTAGCATAAAAGACACAAAAATAGTAGTTTGTTTTCTTTCTTTTAAAAATGGATAGAATATGTATTTTTAATGAAGAAAATTGAATATTGTATACATATTACCACAAGTGACATAAGAATGTGATTTGATATTTTTCCATAATTTGTAATTAAGGTAATTACTCGACTGGACAATGAAGACTTCAGAAGTCGGAAGTTTCTACATCCCAGTTCTTACAACAAAATAACACACGAATGTCAACAAAGAATGGTGGCTGATCATCTCCAGTTTCTCCACGGAGAATGTAAAGACATGGTCAAACAGGAAAGGAGGAAAGGTGGGACAGGAATAATGGCTTACTTCTAAATCTTAATGAACTACTGGTATTAAAAAAAGGATATGTTGAATTAGATCCATAAATAGAGTGCAAATATAATTACATGTAAATTATTGACTGGTTGTTTACATAATTGTAATCAGACTTTTTTGAATCTATAGCAGAGATCAATTTTGAAAATGATTTCCATTTCATCGATGTAATCATTTTGACATACCATATTTGATTGATAACAAAGTGTTGTATTTGATATAGACCTTTCCAACATGTATAAACTTCTGACTGGTTGTTAACAAAATTGTAATCACCTTTTGGAACTTATGGCATTGATCAATTTTGATAATGATTACCATTTCATTGATGATGTAATCATTTTTCCATTTCATTGATGTGATCATTTTGACATAACATGGTGTTGTATTTGCTTCAGACCTTTCCAACATGTACAAACTACTGAAGCCAATCCACGGTGGACTTGGCGTACTGGTACAGGAAGTAGAGGGACATATCAAACAAACCGGAATGGAGGCTGTCAGAAATCTTAAAGGAGAAAACGTAAGCATTAATCAAAAAATAATATCTAATATTTAAAGATTGTCCCTTGTGTGTTAGTAATTAATCCAAATGATATTTGTGTTTGGAGATTGTCCCTTTCATTTTAGTAATCCAAATGATATTTGTGTTTGGAGATTGTCCCTTTCGTTTTAGTAATCCAAATAATATTTGTGTTTGGAGATTGTCCCTTGCATTTTAGTAATGTTTGTGTTCGGATATTTCCCGTTTGATTAACTATAAAAATCTGATATTCTGATATTTTTTTCTTAATTTGTGATCTGATAAAATTGATTCCAAAGTCTGCAGATAAATAAAAAAGTTTTATTTTTACTCGCTTTTAATGAGATTTCATTTGATGCTTTGCAGAACTGATTCTGTATCAGAAATAACAATTTAATTAATACCATACTCTGGTATTTAATTTATTTACCTATATTTAATGTGTAAATTTCCCGCAGGTGCCGGGACAGTTTGTGGAGTCTATGTTGGAGGTCCACCAGAAATACACAGAGATGATCCAGGGTGTGTTTCACTCTGATCAGCTGTTTGTTGGGGCACTGGATAAGGTATTTCCCATCAATAGATGATCCTATTTTCAAAGCTGTTTAAAGTTCTGCTGTTTTTATTGATGATAAGAAATGAACTTGAATGATTTCTTGAAGAATATTGAGTTACAGTTATTTGTTTTCCTTGTCTTGCAGGCTTGTGCCGCAGCAATCAACTTTAAACAAAGTGCTAAACATGTTTGTAAATCCCCAGAAATGGTAATAAGCCAAAATTGGAAACTTCATTTTTTTTCATTTTTCAAAACTTAAAAATGCATAATAATTAGATATGTTTTATATGCAACAGATCAATAAACTAAATGATATATATTTTCCGAGAAGAGCTTATACATTAAAGGTTTAGGAATAAATGTTACAGTTTTCTTTAAGAATTAAGAAATATTTTTGTTTAAACTAGAATTACTTGTACATGTCTTATTTTGCTTTCAGCTTTCAAAATACTGTGATAATTTATTAAAGAAAAGTTCGAAAGGAATTTCGGAGTCTGAAATGGACGACAAATTAACAAACTGTATCACTGTCTTCAAGTATCTAGATGATAAAGATGTGTTCCAAAGGGTAGGTGCATTTGTAAGAGATAGCTCAATTCTTATAAGAAAACATCAGTAAAATGCCTTTTTCCCTCTAATAATGTTTATGCATATGTTGATAAAAAAAAAAACAGATTAAATAAGTTTTTAATGGAAGTTATAGGCAGTGAAAGAACATGATTTATATTTTATTGATCAATAAACAGAGTTATCTCCCACTAACCTACCCTAGAAAGTGATATTTGAAAAGTGCTCATTGATAGCGATCTTTGAGGACATTTGTATGAATACTTACAAATGATAATGATAAGATAGCAAATGATATTTCTTATCTTTTCTACTCTAAGATATTTTACTCTTCTTTTTCCAAAATTTGTATGTGTTTGAACTTTGTTTTATAGTTTTATTCTCGAATGTTGGCCAAAAGATTAATATATGGACAGTCAGCTTCAATGGATGCAGAGGAAGCCATGATAAATAAACTGAAGGTTTGTGGGTCCTATCTCATCTCTGTTCTTTAAGTAGGTTGTACAATGTAGCCAGGTGAATAAAAAGAACATGATTAATAAGAAAAAGAAATCATTTACCAAAAGATATTATTGGAAAAATAATATAGTAAATCAAAGATGCAAGTAGCACTTAGGTACTTTTAATTAGTAATTCATATTCTGTGAGAGACCACAAAGGTATAATTAATTGTAAAACTTTTTTGTACTCTTTTTCTAGCAAGCTTGTGGATATGAATTTACAAACAAACTACATCGGATGTTCACAGATGTTTCTATCAGCACAACATTAAATAAAGAATTTTCAGATTTTATTCAATCCAAAGAGAATGTAGAACTAGGAGTTAATTTCTCTATAATGGTTTTACAGGTAAGTTTGCTGTTAAATGAATAAAGGTACTTTATGTACCTGTGTATTTGGATCTTGTGAATTTTGTCGGAAACTTTGTGATGAGTTACAGGTTCTTTAAGACCATAATTTAGGAAAATATGTTTTTTATGACAATTATCCTCATTCCCCATTCAATACACATTTTGCTTGTAGATAGTTGTATATTTTCAATGGAAAATCTGTTTTTATAAGGCAGTTTTAGTTAAGTGTTTATGTCCCTTTCTTGCCTATAATTTCTCTTTTGGCTTAAAGTATAATATTACTGTGAGTACATTTTTTTCTCCTTTAACCCAGTGATTTGCTTTCAGGCAGGGGCATGGCCTATTGGTCAAAGTAATCTACCAACGTTTTCAATTCCACAAGAACTTGAAAAAAGTGTGCAGATGGTAAGTCAAAGTTTTTTTTCCAGGGCTTTAACAGTGAAATGTATTTTTACCAGCTATAATACACATAGTAAACAGGGTTAAGCAAGACATTGTGCTTATTTGAACATGTTGAATGCATTCTGTTTAAGTACTGAGACAGAAAATATGATTTCCTCGCAGTCATTACCAAAATTGTGAAATGTTTTAGTCCCAGCAGTATATCAATTTTTTATGCATTATTTATGTGCAATGGTGTTTTTTTTTTTTTTAGTTTTTCCGTTCCTTTGCATAACGTAAATATTAGAGTTACTTCTTAAATGGATATGAGAGTGAGATTATGGCATAATCATAATTCTCTTGGGTTTGTCTCATCATAACATGAACTCTGTATGTACCTTTACATAACATAGTATCTTGTCTAGTTACCAATACTGAATTTAACTTATCAGTATAAAACTTTTGGCTCAATGTAGTTATTCACAGCAATTGTTTTTTTAAACCAACCTTGTCAATGAGCATTTACAAGCCTAGTATGTACAAAAATGTGATGAAATAGAAACATGCTTCAAGCCCTGTTCCACAAGTTAAACATAAATTTTTGTCTTTTATCCTTCCCTTTTTTCTTTCTTTAAACAGTAATCTGAAATATGATATTAGTTCTGTCGTTATGAAGTTGACTTTAAGTCTGCTAATGATTCATTAGTCTAATGATCAATATTTGTTTGATTAAAGATTACTAAAGAAATTAGAAAAAGGGAATGGGTTTGGAAAAGGAGAATTTGGGTTAAGTTGATCTGCATAAATCTTTATTCCTAGGAAAGGAATTTGGTAAAAGGTAATCCAGGATCTGATTGCATCTTTTCTGTTGTAATGAAGCTGACTGTAGTCTGTCAGCTAATGATTTGTTATGATCAAAATTATGATACTGGATTCCTTGTCAGAGGGGTTAGTATAGAGATAATGGTGGTGGGGAGGGGGGGGGTAAATAAAGTTATTATTAAAGATGGTAGTCTGATACATGATATATCTCTCCGGTCGAAATGAAGGGAACGTTGATGTCTTCTGATGATTCAGTTAATCACTTGTCTGATTTCAGATTACTTGTAACAATAGGAAAAAAGTAGGAAAAGGCCAGGGGAGGGGGGGGGGTTGAGGGGGGTCATGGAACATAAAAATTTTGATTTCATTATGGTGTGGAGACTGGGCAGTGATCTGCGGGGAAGTTTGAACTTATTTGATGACAAAGGTTGAGCGCAGTCTGAGGTTTCTTTGGAAATCGATGATTGAGAACAAACCAATCTTCTCTGTTGGTCACTGAAGCATGTTTCATAAAGGGATTCTCACTCATGTGATAGAGTCCCTTTACTCTGATGGAATAATTTTCTTCTTCTAAATAATACTGTAAAGTACTTTGATTTCTACATGTATTTTTTTCACTTATGTGTACTGATATATGGATTAAATGACTTCAACAAAATATCTTATGAATCATACAGAGATGAAAAATCAAAGTACAATTTTGTTGATTTTTTTTCTTTTCAAAAACATACATACACTAAAGATTGTAATACACATATATTAGACAATCATATACATCTTGGTAAAGTACTTTGAAATGTCACTGATTTAAAGTGCACTGCTTTTACTTCTAGTTGTAAGATTATTATGATATATGATAATATGCAAACCAGTCAAAGATCAGCAAATGTCCATTAGTAGATAAACCAGCATTCATCCCCGAGCAGAGTATTAATTTTGTGTTGTAATACAATATAACACTACACAGATCTATATCAAATGATGAAAATGAAACTTGCTTGGTATATAGTCATTGTAAAGCAGAGATCTGAATGTGTCCTATGGTCAGTGGCAGGAGCTACACTGGGTCACAGTTTTGATGCCCGAACTTAAGCCATGGATTCAATGAGGTTAAACGTTTTACAGACCTGTGATGAAAACACGACCAATCTCTGACAATGAATATATAGCGAGTCTCTCATAGGATTCTCAGCTCATGATTGAGTCCTATGGTTCTGATTTTTAATTCTTTTTTCCCCCTTCAACTTTTATTTTAATCAACTTCTAGCAGAATGACTTAAAGTTTATAAATAATACCACGTTTTCTAGGACAGGCAATGATCATTTAGAGCTTTATTTCACTTTATTTGTTAACAGTCCCTTTTGTATGATATCAAAAGAGAATGCATGTGCATACATACTGTAACACCATTTAATATATAATTCTAAGACTTTTGACACATTTTTTAAGCTTATATGAATATATTCTAGTGAGATACACACTGAAACTGTTTTTCATCAATGATAAAACTTTATTAAAATTCAAATTGAAATGATGAAATAGAGACATATTTCTGGCTCTGCCTGTGAGAGTAGGAAGGAATTTTATAAATGTAATATTTTAATGTTCCCCGGTGTGATAGATGGATACAAGTGAACTAGGGTACTCAATATTGAAGACCTCTGTTCGTCTTATGAAGAGGGTTCAATAATGACAATTTTTTAAGATTAAAAAATTCATATGACCCCTCTAATGATTGAAAACAAGAATCTTGAAATGAGAGAAAGAGTGTGTGTAAGGACGTCCATTTATTTTTTAATGGTTTTGAAAGGTGGAAGCAAGAAGCATGTAAGGATAAAGGCGGAGCCTAAGATTTGGGGGCGGAGCCTGATTATTTCTGCCCTGAGTGGGCGTGACATGATGTCATTGGAGTGCAACTGAGGTTTTTGTCAACGACAATAACCGATGATTAGAAACAATATGGCTCCCTTCCTTATCTTGAAATAAGTCTCCCCACAGACTCTCATGTAAATATGATAGAGTCTGGTGTTTCTGATCATCACACTTGGTGCGGCTTCAAGATTAGTCTCATGTGTACTGTAAACTCAGTATCTTAATACAAGTAATGTCTAATTATTTACATATACCTACATGTATGACATTGCATCAGGCTGAGATTTTTTGTAAACAACCCAAAACAAATGATCAGGACCAACATTGTCTGACTAGTTAAATATATGGTATATAACAATTGTAGGGGCAGTATCACAAGGCAGTTTGATGACATTGCATTAGACTGTGACTTTACAAGAAACCAATGATTAGGACCAACATTGCCTGACTAGTTATAGCCCATGTAGGGGCAGCATGATGGCATGTATTTTTTTGCTGAGGTTTTTGTAAACAACATTAAACCAAATGAATGGAACCAACATTTACTGACTAGTTAAAACATATAGGAGGAACTTGATGAAATGTATGTACAGGGTTATTTTCAGCCTATATTATTTCGCCCTATTTTCAGCCCATATTATTTTCGCCCTTTCACACTTGCAAACAATTTTGTACCCTCTTAAATTTGCCCAGTTAGACACACTTTTGTTTAAGAAATTATACTGCATTCTTTGAATTCCCTACGTTTTAATTTCGCCCAACTGAGGCTAGGGTGAAAATAAAATTGGGGTGAAAATTTCCCTGTATACAGTACTACTCAAAACCAATGATTAGAACCAACATAGCCTGACTAGGTAAAGCCCTATGTAGGGGCAGAATGATGTCATTATTGCCTAGTTTCTGAGGTGCTGTGTAAATAACAATATTTACATTTAAATCTTTCTTGTAAAATAATGCTAATTTGGAAAGTTCCAACTGTGACGTCATATGACATCATAGTATCGTTACGCTGCATTTCAAAATCAAAGTCTAAATAATGCCTATATTTTTTTGTAACATGAATGAAAACATAAATTATAAATATGAGAAATAAGATGTCATTTTTTAGAGTTTCATTGGGGTATGACATGAAGTCGGTACATGATCAAATCCACTATAACACCCTCTTTGGGCATTATAGAGTTTGATCACATGACCGACTTCATGTCATATCCAAATGAAACTCTAAAAATGATATCTTATTTCTTAATTAAATGAGATGAACTAGTGACTAACATTGCCTGACTAATAATTTATAACAGTCAATACATGTAGTGGCAGTATGATAACATGCCTTGTCTCAGCAGTTTTTGTAAACCACACAAAACCAATGATAAGAATCAATATTGCCTGTCAGACTAGTTAAAGCCCCTGTACATGATGTGGGGGCAGCATGATGATTAATTGCCGTTGTTTGAGGTTTTTTTAAGGAATGAAGCTAATTTCAACTTATGTTATCCGATATAACATAACTTGGGGCAGTTTACGCTTTATAAACCGCGAAGCGGTTTATAAAAAAGCGTAAACTGTCCCAAGTTTTGTTATATTGGATAACATAAGTTGAAATTATCTTCATTCCTTATAATTTAATTTCAGAGTAGACAGGGAGACAATATTTCCTCTGGAAAAAGGCTTCAAATTGAGAATTATTTTAAAAGTAACGTCAAGCGGAGTAATACGTTTTTGACTTAACTCATTGTGACGTAGGCAAGTTATTTTATACAAAATATTATATGTTCCTCTGAATGATTCAGCCAATGAAATTGCTTGATACAAGTGAAATTTTAAAAAATTATTTGTAACTTACATCAAACCAATAATAAAAACAACCAATATTGCCTGACTAGTTAAAGCCCCTGTTCATATAGGGGCAGCATGACATTATGGCATATTTCTGAGATTTTTATATACTACACAAAACCTATGATAACAACCAACATTGCCTGACTAGTTAAAACCCCTGTACATGTAGGGGCAGCATGATGACATTATTCCGCATGGTTTGAGGTTTTTTGTAAACAACATCAAACCAGTGATAACAACCAATATATTAACATTTTTGAATAAGTTTTCTCATTATATCACAAATGTAATAAGTTTCGCTATAAACCCTGAAAAATGCTGAGTCACACTGGAAACAGTTATGTCACGCCGGAAACAGTTATGTCACCCCCGACGGAAACAGTTATGTCATCCTTTCGATCACGTTCACGTGTTGTTACGTTACGCATTTTAGCTCGGGTTCGAGATGTTATGACGTCGGTTGCTAAGCAAAAGTAAACAACACAGC